GACATGCATCCATGCTGATGACGGGTTCTGCTCGATAACCATCCAAAGCAGAGCGGACCAATGCATGTTCATTTCCATTATCTGAGTCAGATGCCACCAGCAGAAGATTGATTTTCTTTTTCGGTGGTTTGGGTTCTGTAGTTTCCGCATTGGAGTGTTGCTCTTTTAAGACTTCTGAAAGCATGCTCCACACCTCATCCCTCTCAGATTTTGGACGGCACTTCAGATTCTTGAACCTTGGGTCCAGTGCAGTAGCTATTTTTAGAAATCTCACATTGGTACCTTCTTTGCCTTTTGTCAAATCTGCTTTGAAAGTGTTCTTAAAATGAACATGTGCTGGGTCATCATCTGAGACTGCTATAACATGAAATATACAATTCATATATTAATTAACACATTTTTTTTGACAAGCATCATCAGCATGGAAGCATGTCCTCTGGAATGGTGGCCGAAGCATGAAGGGCCATATGAATGTTTAGCATATCTGGCATGTAAATACCTTGCAATGCCTGCTACAAAAGTGCCATGCGAATGCCAGTTCTGACTTTCAGGTGACATTGTAAATAAGAAGCAGGCAGCAGTATCTCCCATAAATTTAAACAAACTTGTTTGTTTTAGTGATTGGCTGAACAAGAAGTTGTACTGAATGGACTTGTAGGCTCTAAAGTTTTACATTGTTTTGTTTTTGAGTGTAGTTATGTAACAAAAGAAATCTACATTTGTAAGTTACACTTTCATGATAAAGAGATTGCACTACAGTACTTGTATGAGTTGAATTGAGAAATACTATTTCTTTTATAATTTTTACAGTGAAAATATTTGTAATAAAAATAATATAAAGTGAGCACTGTACACTTTGTATTCTGTGTTGTAAATGTAGAAAACCATCCAAAATATTTAATAAATTTCAATTGGTATTCTATTGTTTAGCAGTGCAATTAATCACAATTATTTTTTTTAATTGTGATTAATTTTTTGAGTAAATCACATGAGTTAACTGCGATTAATCAACAGCCCTAATTTTTGCTTTATTTTTTGGTAGAAAGAAACATAAGAAGGGTCATATTAGGTCAGACCAATGGTCCATCTAGCTCAGTATCCTGTCTTCCGACAGTGGCCAATGCCAGGTGCTTTAGAGGGAATGAACAGAACAGGGCAATTATAGAGTGATCCATCCCCTGTCATCGAGTCAGAGTTTCCAGCAGGTGGATGTTCAGGGACACCCAGAGCATGGTGTTGCATCCCTGACCGATTTGCATGTGCTTGATTAAAAAGGAAAGTTGATCTTTTGACAAGGAAAGCAAGCATCCTGGGCCCAATCTTGCTGCCTTTAAAGCCAACGGCAAGACTCCTGCTGGCTTTAATTGGAACAGAGTTGGCTTCTCTGACTGCAATTTTACTTCCTTAGTGTGCTCACTTTAATTCATTTTGCTTTGGCACAGCACTTGATCACCTCTTAATCCTTCTCCAGTAAGGATCTGATAAGACATGAGCTACTTTATCATTTACAAGACAGCATTTATGAAGGGGAAACTACTCAGGGCTCCATTCAACCTGGTTGGTGAACGGGCATTAACCCATGGAATGCAGCTTTCCTGGTACAAGCAGCATGGGGGCTGCCCCTTCTCCAGCCAGCAGTACCCGGTTTTGTAATTGCGTTGGCTGGGTGAATAGCTCAGCACAGCAGCACTTATGGGAAAGCTTTGTGCCACTGCAACCTCCTCATCTGGAATGACTTCTCACAACCCATCACCTTGAATCAAGCCTTGTACACCAATCTTCAAAACGCACACTCAGATAAACCATGTTCACAGGCTGTTCAGTTCAATAGCACACTTATATGATAATGAGCAGAAAAATGAACATGCAATGTTTAGCAACAATATGCATTTCAGTTTAACCATTTAAGTTACAATTTAGCAAAGAAAAAAGTGCACTATTGATTTAAAATAGGTTTATCCAGGAAAGAGTGGAAAATATGATCAGAGTGAGTAAATGCAGGTGGCTTGGGAGCTTGATGAGAGATTAAACATGAGGGCCATGAGATGCCTATTCTGCTGTTTGTTTTATGAAATATTTTCATAGTTTTGAACACTATAGGGTTTGCAAGTCAGTTCTTGCTATTTCTGAGTAAAAGTATCCCCACACAAAGGATCTCTTTGACCCCTCCCCTCTGAAAGGAAAGATGATAGTCTTTCGTACTATGCTAGGAACTGAGAGTAGAAGCCAGAATCTAATGTAGGCTACATAGCCTACAAGAGTATGAACAACATTAGTAAAAGGATGGAAGTGATATTTCTCTGAGATAGACCTGAGTGTCACACACTTGGAGAGACTTGCAATCAATTTTCCCAACTGGCCCCCGATTGTGGTGCTGAGCCTTGGTACACAAAGCATTTGAACCCTTCCTCACCCACATTGAGACCCGTTAAAGAAAAATCTGGAGATTTTATTAAAAAATAGTTAATTTGCATAGTTGACAAATATATATCACTTTATTTACATAAATGAGAGCAAGCGTCTAGTTCCAAGTGTCTAAACATAAATCTACCTCCAATTCCTTTTCTATCCCATAGTAGTGACAGAAGAACTTAACTGCAAGCCCAGGTCTCCCATCTGCATGCACCTTCCTTTCCCCAAGGGTCTTGCACTTTGGCTGGGATCCCATACCATCCAGGGCTGGTCTCCTAAAGCAGTGTTTCTCGACCTTTTTAATACCAGGGACCAGCTTGCTGCCTTCCTAAACTGTGTCAGGGAGATCTCAAGGGCCGGTGCCGTACATACTTGGGCAGTTAGCCTGCCTCCCTCTGCAGCTATGCTGCTATTTTTAGCATGCTAGCTAGATCAAAACTAGCATGGGGACATCCACCCGAGGTGGAAATTACAGTTCCAGCTGCAGTGTAGATATGCTCTAGGAGACTCAGCATGTTTGCCCATATCTGCACAGAAAACGGGGTGGTACAAAAATAAACCCCTGGGTTTCAGTCTGTGGGGAAAAGTCATGGTGAAAATCAAATTACCCTCTTGGTGGGGATTTTGACTTTGAATTCTCGCATTGCTGAGTGGATTCTAATCTAATCCAGTATGATGAAAAGTGCTAAAAGAACTGGCACTGAATTAGACACAGCACCTTTTCATGTAGTGATTGCAAATCTGCTGGCTTTCTGCTGACCTCCATCATTCTGTTTATTGTAAATGGAGATCAGGCAGTCAGGCACTGACATTTCAACAACAGGCAAAATACGAAACGCATTACATCGCGTTGGAGGGATACTTTGGTTTGTTTTATCTCAGTGCTTATTATAATGCATATGCAAGTCGGATTCTCAAGATAGTTGTTTTGTGGGTTGTTTTGTAGCAATGAACATGGATATAATCACCCGGGAACAAATACAAAACTGATTTTTTCTTCTGTAAAAATTAAAACATTCAAGATGTTAGTAATTATTAAATTAGTTTATTGTAAGATGAAAACTACATTTCCTGAAAAGTACTAAAGGGTATGGCTTACTTACTTAGAAGAATTCTTATGAAACAACATTTACATGAGATGGCTGGACTTAGGGGTAATATAAATTCTATTCATAGTATGTTGTCTTCCCCCTCCTGCCAGCTCCCACTTTCCCTGATGCTAGGCTATGTTGCCTTGAGGATGTCTCCTGTTTCAAAGTTACAAGATTTTCATAGAATTGCAGCCACTGGGCCAAAAATCCAAATGTTTGCCTCCAGCCTCATTGGCCTCCTGGTATTTGAAATATAGATTCTGTTCAGATCATGTTGTGCAGCCAAGAATTCATGTTGTAAATTTTGCAAGAGATTGTAAGTCTCTCCCTGCCCCTTATAAATTTCCCACACAAGCAAATTCATTATGTGAAAGTAGTAAATTGAGAATAAAAGAAAAAACATTATACAAATGTTCACCAACTGCTTTTAGTGTATGGATAGATGTGCCTAATTTTCATAAGAAATAGTAGGAATTAATAAAATGAATATCTCACCCATTAAGTAGGCTGATAATTTATGGGCAAAGTCTTCCAGTGGCATAATTATTTTTCTTGCCTTTGTCAAAAACCTTAAATAAATTATTCTTTGAATCAAAGATATTACACTGACACAACTATGTTTATAATAAAACAATATTTTGCTTGTCCTTATCAGAAGTGAAATGTAACTAACATGCAAGCAAATTCCTCTTTTGAATGTTACAGCTTTAAAGTTGCAGCTCATTTCTCATTGCAGTAGTTTAAGTGAAAACTCACAGAAAAATCCTTCCTTTTCATTTTATCATTTATCCTACTGCATACACTAGCCAACCCTTTGAGTATATCCCTTGATCTCTTTGAAAACAATTTATTAAAAAGGAATTAAAAATGGGCTCAAGGTCCAATGCATAGAAGATTATCTGTCCTTTTCATGTTAACAGCTGGGAGTATAAAACATCTATATCTTTCATTTAAGATTTTATAAGAAGAGAAAAAAGGATCATAAGAATTATGGCATATATAGAGGCAGTGGGTATATAGGGAAACTAAGTATATTGAAAAAGTCTTACTTTGAAAAGATCTGGTTGTCATGGGAATATTGTAAAACAGGGGCTACTTCTCTTACTTAACCATCACTGACAACAAGAGGGCAGAGCCTCAGCTGGGGAAGGTTAGCAAAGCTTCACTGACTTCAGTGGAACTATGAGAATTTAAAGTAGCTGAGGCTCCATCCCCTTGCTTTAAAGTCACTCAAACAAGACACGTTTTATTAAGCAGACCCCTAGTATTTAAAACAGAAGGTAGCGATCTGGTATATGCCAGTGCACTATGAATATTACTATAATGTACTGTATGGGTTTGAGTAAGCTACACCATACCAAGAGACATTTAAAGCATACATGAGAAAAATCTCACCAGAAACAACACATTTGATGTAATAAGCATCATGCTATATAAATTGATTTGAGCACCATGTTCCCGATGCATTTTGACACATTATGATCTCTACAAAAAGCACAATTTGTAAGATTTTTTTATTAAGTCTAAGACATGTTGTTTTAGAGTGCAAAACTGTGTCCATCATCCCAACTAAAATTTAAACTAAACATTAATATGCTAAAGGAAGATGAACATCTGATATAGCAGTGGCATTAACAAAACATCCAGTGTGACACATAAGCAGATTGGTACACAATTTGTGAAAGGTGCAGTGGAAGATAACTGATTTATTGTTGCATCAGTCTGTGAGAATTAAGTCCCGGTGCTGTCAGTATCACACTTACTACGTGAATAGCGAGTACATTAGTGATACGCTAATATAGATAACACACAGCATTATCCAGTTTATTCTTGTGATAGGTGGCCTGTTACCTTTCACATGGAGGATGGCACTTGATGAGATAGTGCCACTAGAATTTTTAGCCCGAACAACATAGAGGCCAGCATCTGCATCACACACCTTCTGAATGAACAAAGCATGCTTTGTCTCCTTTTGTAAAAGCTTTAAGTGCTCATCTGCGGTCAATTTCTGGCCCTTCTTGTACCTGAAGCAGAGAGTCAGTTTTCAAGTCAGGTTTACATCAGTGTTTGCTGAAGCAGAATTTGCTGATTTCAGACAACCTCTACAATAATGTTAGCAGTAACAGTAATTGCCAGCAGCCACTCCCCAATTCCCTCCATTTAGACCAGTTATATTTAAACAAGATATACAAAATAGCTACCATGTTGTGTAATGTTAGAAAAGATACAAATGGGAGCCCTGATCCTGTGACCTGCGCTTTACAGGCTGACACTACTGTGCCACCTCATTGGCAACAATGGGGTTCTGTTGATACCAGCTTGCAAGATTGGGTGCTAAGTTTCTGCTTTGAGAATTTTTGGTTTTATTTTTAAATAAAATCTTGCTAACAAAGGGTTAAATTCACCTATGTCTAAAGGGCCTGCAGAAGACCTGATGCATCATGTAAGCCCTGTAGTAAAGGCTTAAGTGAGTCTTAAATGGTGCACAAAGCATCATGCAAGACAAGTCCTCCAAGGAAGGATGGTTTGGTGGCTAAGGCACAGGCCAAGGACTTGGGAGACCTAGGTTCAATTCCCTGCTCAGATTCCTGCATGAACTTGGGCAAGTCACTTAGGCCCACATCCTCAGAAGTATTTAAGTACCTAGTCCAATGGAAGTCAGGCACCTTTGAGGATCTAGGCTCTCTGTGTGTCAGTTCCCCTCCTGTAAAATGGGGATAAAGAACATTAAAGACTGGGAGGTACCCAGATACCTATGGTGAGGATGTGGCCATGTAAGTACCTTAGATAGATTAGACAGAGACACATACATAGGAATTTCAGCCAGAGAAAACAGAAAGAGAGCGTATGAGCCTGGTACTCCCCTCACTTATACCAGTGTAAAGCTGGTGTGATTCAATTGAGCCAGGTTCTGAGCTAATGAAAATTAATGTAGCTTCACTGACTTCACCAGAAGCTACACCACCAGAAGATCTGGCCCACTGATTTCAATGGTGGTACTGCTAATTTACTTTCTGTAAGGTAGGCCCTAATTGTCTGATTCTGTAGTTTCTACAGATACTATATTTAACATTGCTCACATGCAAAACTGCCATTCCTATTATATGTCTGTTAAAATATATAAATCTGTTCAATCAAAATTGGATACAATGAATCTGGACTATTCATTGTAAAAAAAAAAATCCACTTTCACTATTTTCATAAAATTGTGGCTTGAGAAATGTTCAATTTAAAGTTTATTTTGAAAAAAAAAAAGGAAAAATCCCAGCAACATATTCTTTTGTGCTGAATCAATGTTTAATAGCACTTAAAAACAGAATTGTAAAGACCTCTTAATTCATCAGCAATATCTTCTCAAAGTGTAGGAGACAGGGATTAAAAACTGATGACTGTATTACTGATATAGGCAGAATGTACTGAGTGTTTCAGTATTTGATGTGTTTTGCAATTCTTCAGGGAAAAATTCAGCTTACTAAAAGACTACCAAAAATAAAGTGTACTCCGTATGTGATAGTTTATGGTATCTGGTAAACTCTCTCTCTCTCTGCAAATGGAGAGATGTTTCTCTATCGGTCTCTGCTTTCCATTGTAGTACTAGGTATTGCAAAAACTTGGACTAAAATAGCTCCCGGTGCATGGACCCCCATTAGCAAATTAAAACAGAGGTTCTCTATGGGAATTTGGAGAAAATAAGTGGATGATATGGCTATGGGAAATTAGAGTTGGGTTTTATTAAAATAAACCAGCACATAAAGTTCTAAAGATGACTTTATTATGAAATCTTCTGGACCCTCCATCACTCTCTTACAATCTTTAGTAAAGGATTTATCAAAAGATTTTTACTCTGAAGAGATATTTATATTTCTCACTGATAAAAGTTCCTACAAATGTAATAAAAACAACATACTTTTGATTGTTAAAACCTGTGAATGGGAAATGTGGAGCAGACAGAGTGAATATTCAGTGAAAAACTGGAGTTCCTCGTGTATAGACTTATTTTCTTTACGTTCATTCTCTCCACTTCTTGGGAAGAGGGGATACTTGCAAGTAGCAGGCACACTGATAAGGAATTAATCTACAGTAAGTTGGCTCTGAAGGGGGAATTTTCTTTCACAATCATTTTAAAAAGCGGAATGTTATACTGAAAAATAATGTAACAGAAAAAAGTGTTTGATGTGTTTGCATTTGAAAATAAATGTTTGCTGCTCTGATTATTCTAAAGTTGACAACAGTGATATTATTTCAAGTGGGTTAATTGAAAAAAAAAAAGTTTTCTTTGCAAATGGAACCATGCAGAAGTGTGGAGTGATATAGATAACAAGCAATTCTCTCTAATTTTCAGATTAGTACACACAGTTATAAGTAGTGCAATGTGTATTTCTATAGGTATATTTAGGTTTTCTCATTATAAGCTACCCACCATGTCAGTGAAGGCTCTGGAAATCCTGCTACTTCTACTTCCAAAGTCACCGGAGAACCTTCCATGACGGTTACATTGGACAGCAGTTTGGAGAAGTTAGGCGCCTGTCCAGATAGGCTGGCCATGCTGTTCTTTTCTGATGCACTTTTAATCTCTTGTTGGGTGACCATCTGCCTCTGACAGCTTCTGGTGGCGTCTGATTGAAACATGAGACCTGAGAATGCATCAGGCAAAGCATGCAGCCTATCCTGGGTTTTAGTAAAGTTATTAATGTCATGCAATTGTTCTTGTGTTTCTGTCATGCTTCGGTGAGCTTCATTGTGTTGTATATGTGTCTCGTGCACTTCACTGATCATGCTATATGCAGGCTTTGCATGTATTGTGCAGGAAGCAGTGATGTTTTCAGGTACTTCTGGTGAACTACAAGTCAAAGGAGATTCCATTCCAAATTTTGGATAGTGATCTATGGTAGATGGGAAAAATCTCTCTAACTCATCTGATGTGGTTTCCCTTCTATGATTTGAAGTGTCAGCATAAGCAACAGGTGTTAAGAGATCAGACTCATCAGTCATTCTTTTACTGCCAGAGTTTATCTGCATTTGCAAACTATAGGAGCTGACATGCAGACTATGAGAACTACAGCAGGGCTGCTCTTCCAGCTCAGCTTCAGAATGCAGGAGGTCGGATTCAGGCATCTCGGAAAGCAAGGGCAAAGAGATATCATCAGGTGATATACATTTATATTCCTCGCTGGAGGGCATTTCTTCTGCCAGCAGCTCAGCCTGTAAACTATCCTCTTTGGCAGAAGGAGCCAGCGCCATATCCTGTGAAACGAAATCCTCACCAGCTGGGCAGACAACTGAAATATCAGCCAGTCTCGTCTCTTCCTTAAAAATAGAACAAAAAGAGAGAACAAGTTACTGTAGCGCACATCCATATTTTCATGCACAAGTTAGAAATAATATTTGGAATATTACTTCTTATTAAACTCAATCCACTCTGGGAAGCAGGAAGAAATTTGTGTGGCAGAGAATCACTAGCAGAAATTTTGCAGTTAGGTAACAGGAGCTCCAAACAGCTTGTATACAGTCTGAAAGGAAATACAATCTGAACACTTTATATTTTTATTGATATAACACCTAATATCAATGTACAGGTTTTCGTGTGAGCAGGTGTCAGCCAGTAGATTCCCTGTGCCCTGTGTTTACATGGGTGTTTATTAATCTGCTACTGCTTTGTGAATGGTCACCATAGTAACATGGTATAGTATCTATTTCCTGCATGAGTTTGACTCTACCATTCCTTCTTTATTATAGTAAAGTTACTGTGGCCTTTAATTCTCTTGGGAAGAAAGTGGCTGGTTGCAGTTTGTGGGTTTAGGAGCTAGTCCAGCAGGTTTAAGGAATTTTTAGAACATTTTAAACCTTTTTTTTTTCTGGTCAGTTGACTCAGACCTTGCCTGAATCATTACTGGGAGCAAAAACATTACTATTTTAATATTATAAGATCAGGACCAAATACAGATTAATTTTCTCTAATCATATTCACATAAAGTAGTTGCACATGGCACATGATTGCACAGTTGCAGCTGCAAACCAACATGGATGTAGGCCAGGTCTATACTAGAAAATTAGGTCGGATTAGAAAATCCACACCCTTGAGTGAAATAGTTACGCCGACCTTAGTCCCTATGTAGACAGCACTAGGTTGACAGAAGAACCTCTTCCGTTGACCTAGCTACTGCCTCTCGGGGAGGTGGATTACCTATGCCAATGGGAGAACAGCTCCTGTTGGTGTAAGTAGGTGTTTACAATGAAGCACTACAGCACTGCAGCTGTGCCACTGTAGCGTTTTAAGTGTAGGCAAGCCCCTAGTCTGGTTTATTTAATTGCTTCTGTGCCTGGACTTTGGCCAGGGTTTTGTACAATGGTAATTGTGAAAGGTGCAATCACATACCCCTCCATCCCATTAAACTACATTTGAACCAAAGCTCCGGGAAGGTACTTTGAGAGCACAATCCCTTTTTTATGGTCCAGTGCTCCTGTTAAGCTCTGTATAAATTATTTCATCGATCAGCCAAGTGCATTAATTCAATGTATAGGTCTCCAATTTTCTGTCACTATCTCCGTCCACCACACATATTGTCACTAACAAATGAGCACATTAAGTGTGTGTGTACATGCGCAGTCCTAGCTGGCAAGAGTGCAGCTGGATCTTCTTAGTGGCCTCCAAGATAAGTGTCCAGTGACCATTTCAACAGGATCTTTCCTTCTGCATTGTTAGTTAAGTGTTGCTCTGCTTGTAACTACTTTTACCGGTCTTCGGCACACACAGTAAACAAGACATTCAGCAGCGAAAGAAAAAGAGATCTGCCAAAAATATATCCAGGCCCCTGGGCAGATATCAGTCCTAATACAGCACCAACAACATAGCTTCATTGTTCAACCCTGGCACTTCAGCCAGTTGAAGGCTGTGGTGATTCACTACACAGACACATCAGTCTCTTTTGGTGAACTGACTGGAAAAAGCAGGAGTTCTACTGCTTTTATTCTGCCTGAAATGATTAATTTGGTCATGAAATGAAGTGGGCTTGGAATTCATTTGCTATAAACATCCACCATTTGATGAACTCTGACCTCACAAATATTGAAAAGAGAATAGAAAATGGGTGTCAACATGGCAAATAAAAATTTCAGTTCTTAATTTGCTGAAAAGTGTGTGAATGGATTTCCCCTGCTATTCACTCAGATCTAGTCAAGACTACTGCATCAAGCCAAGATGTTAGGGTTGGTGATATTGTCAATTTTTTATTAGAACTGTGATTAATTGCTAACCGGACATATCAAACTCAATTGACCTTCCGATATTGTCACGTATACCTGCTTCAGCTTCAGTCCTGCCCAGGCTTGCACTTCATTGAGCCCCGAGGCTGTATCTGGAGTTCCAGAGACCAAGATCAGACTCTATGTAGTACTTCAATAACAAAGATAGACTAAGTCTATTTATTAGAATATTACCAGAGTGAGAACTTCCTGGAAGAATATTAAAGCCTGAGCAGGCATATTTTAAAATGATAGGGCTAAGTAATTTCTAAACAGCTAGTCTCTATGCTCTGAATGAAATCAATGGCCCAGGTCCTTCCCCATAGTAAGGCTGATTTGTTCCACTTCATCTATATGAAGTGACCCCATATAGCCTACCATGGAAAGGCCACACCAACAAAGAGAATCTTTCAGTGGCATACCGCAGCTAGCCTAAAAGGCTGTGTAGCATGAGAAAAGAAGGTGTATATTGTGCTTTCCTGCACCCCAGCAATCTTCAGTGGCTGTAATGGCTGGTAGATAGGTTGATTGGCAATGGGAGTAAATTTGAGCATCCTTGAGACTGCTCTAATTTATAGCGGGGATTTGGGCCTGGTGTGCAACAGACCCAGGATTGAGGAAGTACAAAGGTGTGTATGCCACAGCTAAGGACCAAGAATACTAATACTGAAACAACTGAATGGAACTGAGTCCCAAAACTTTAAGTGAAATCCTGGCTCTATTGAAGTCTATAGCAAAACTCCCACCAATTTCAATCGAGGCCGTATTTCACTCTGTAATTAAAAAAGGGAGCCCAGGCTAGACTTGGTATTGGAATGGGAGTAACACACAGTATGTTAATTAAGCTTACTTCCAGTTCATCAGCAGAAAGGAAGCCTTTTGTTTTTAAACAAACAGCTTATTGTTAGCTGTGTTGCACCAAGACTTCACACAAGTTAGCTTGTAGCATTCTTCATCCATATGGTCAGATTGTCAAACATTATCTTAAACATTATCAGCTATCCTAGTTTTCTTTCTTTCTTTTTTTAAAAATTTTACTTGAATTTACCACCTCCCACCCTGAGGGATATTTCACATTTATTATGGTGCTTTATTTACATGTACTTAGATGAATCAGGATCTTGAGGTTCCAATCTGTTATTTATAGTAAATAAATTAATCCCAGTAATTTAAATATTTCTCTTGCATTGCTTGTCCCACTAAGTCCCATATTTAGGCACTGACAATTTGGGAGTTTTCGTATGCAATTTCTGTATATCCACTGAATAAAAACAATTTAGCCCATTAAGATTTTCATTCCTTTAAATACATGCATGATCATGTATTGTAATTCTTTGAGTCAACCTTACTTAGTTCCATCATGCATTATTATCAGCATGCACAGCATTATTTGGTTATTTATTTCTGATCTCTATTGCATGTAACTCAGGCAATAAAAAAGGTGACTGAACTGTTTTCAGGTGAGTATGAAGAAGATTATTTGCTGCTGATTTAGTGTTGTTGCCTATTTGATATAGAGCCTTGTAGCAATTGCACCACAGATTATGTATGACATGTCACCATGCTGAACTGCTGACAGCTGTAATTGTGTTACATCACATTTTCATTAGATGCCTGCTCTGCTATCATTTACACTGACACAAATCTGGAGTAACTCTACTGACTTACTGGAATTACTCTGGACTTACATCAATGTAACAGAGCAGAAACTGATCCTAAAAATCAGTCTGTCAGAGTTTCAGCATCCTTTGCTAATTACTCAATTGTAGGACAAAAGTTCCTTTGAGACTAGGGGAGAATTTGCTTAAGTTTTGATTTTTAAAAATTAAATGTCAGAATGAACCATAGATACCTTTTTAAGATGGGTGGTGAGAAGCATATTGTTGTTTTCCATTTTAATTCTGATTTCTGGCCTTTCAGTGAGTGTATCTGACTCTACCTAAAAGGAAAAAAAAAAATTTAAAGCAACATAAATCATTTAGATCTCCAGTACCCAAACATTTTGATAGATAAAAGCACTAGTCTTTCAACTTTGTCTGGTTCAAATCCAGCCTGAGCTATGAGTGAAATATTTATATCTGCAATAATTTATTACATTGTCTGTTAGGAGAAATAAGAATGTGAAGGTATTGGGGAATATTAAGAGTAGGGAACTAAAAGAGTAGCTTAAGTATCATAATAAGAGTAACCCCCCTAATATTATTCCCATGAGCCTTACTGTATTGTAAATGGACAGGGCAGAGTTAGACTCTACTCATGGGAAGGTGGAATCCTGCGGATACAGTCCCATGGAAAATAGGGAGAGGAGTAAGAAGCAGAAGCAGACAGAGATGGGAGTGGCAAGGAAGAGAAATGGAGAAGAGGGATCAGCTGACTAAAATTGGATATTACAATTCCACTGAGGAGGATGTGACAATCTCACCACTACACAGTGGTTGAGAAGAGGAACAAAGGAAAGGAGATATACCCCAGATCCCTAGGTGGCCCTCTCAAGGATTGAACTCACAACCCTGGGTTTAGCAGGCCAATGCTCAAACCACTGAACTAGCAAGTTGGACAAGAGGCAAGGGGAGGAAGAGGAGAAAATGGAAAGTGAAGGGATGGGGAAGAACTACACTGATCATGTCCATGTTGAGGGAGGCTTCTAGTCAGTTGAAGTGATAGATTACAGACCTTTTAGCAATGCACCAAAAAATTTAGTTTACACAAAGTTCCAGTGCAGAAAAATTTACTAACCTCTTGCTTTGCTTTGGTAACTTCCTTATATGTCTCCTGCCTGTTTCTTTCTTGTTTTCTTGGTATAGTGGCTGACTCCTCAGCAAAACCACCTGTATCAGATGTTTTTTCTTTTAACACATCTTCCTGTTATATAAAGAGAAACTTCAGGGACTGAGCACTACAAAGTAATAGTTAACTGTTTGTTACACTAACATCCTGTACATGGTGGTAAAGTAAACATTTGAAATATATATTACAATCTGTTACCAGTACAGTGTAAATTGGTTATGGCAGACCTATTAGGCAAAGCCTGATTTGTCCATTTTACACAATATCCAGGATATGCATGGACCAAAGGTGACAGAAGCTTTTCTAGGGTAGGGAAACTGAAGACAGTACATGGAACTGTCTGGAGAGCTGACCTGTTTGGCAAGGAAGCTGGGAAACTTCAAGGAGACTGTTCCCAGAAACAGGGGCAGCAAAGGGAACAGAAAATATTATGGAAGTGAAACCTTTAGAAAGAGCAGATAACTAAAACATGGGTATAGATTTTATGGAACTTGTTCTGGAAAGGGAAGGAGCCATTAGAGAATCTCCAAGAAGTGCAATATGATTCTAAATGTCTAGAGGATGAAGAGGAGAAAGTTCTCTCTATCTCTAAAGCAACAGCCACATAGATGATCTGATTGGCTTGGGAAACTAACTCTCTCCCCACTGTCTGGGCCCAGATTACACAGAAATTTTACATCAATGATGTATCATTTTTTTTTTGGCTGACTGATATGCATTTCTAGAATATTTTGTCATCTGAATACCTCTTGGAAGACTGCACAACCTCTTATAAGTAGGCATGTGAATAGCATAAATTCAATCTACCATACTGTATTTTATTAAGGCAGCATAAATTCCTTAAGAATTGGTAAAACAGAAATCTAGACTTTAGCTTCAAAGGACACCAATGTGCTGCAAACCAAGGAAAGCCAGAAACTCTATAGTTATAGTTTTATACTTATAACTTCAGCTGAGTGGAGTAAAATTACAGTCCTGAATAAGTCTCTCTAGCAAAAATGCTGTCTCACCATTTTTCCATTCAACTATGAGAATACCATTACATGTAGAAAACTGCTCTAGAGTGCACTGCAGTGCTCTTCCTAGAAGCCAGTTTATTTTTCTGGAAACAAACTTTTATATTTCCCTTAAAAGAAACCCAAAGTAATTTTCCTTTTGATATTTGACAGCCATGTCAGATTACGTATGACAGTGTAAGGTGACCTTGTTGTGTGTGCGTGTGGTTTTATTGCTTTTTTAAAAAAGATAAAAAAGGAATCAATCCTGTTGGCTCAGAACACTGTGTATATATTCAGACACTTTACTGAATGACTTATTCATTAAAAGATGCAGGTGAAAGCCAGTCAGACATATTGTGAATGGACTATATGAGCATTAGTTTAATCTCTGAGAACACAACACATCTCAGGAAAGGAATATCTTTCATTTGGTGAAGAGTACAGGTTGAGGAATAATCCCCTCTCTCTCCCTCTCTTTCAAGCAAATTTCACCTCTGATACTATTCCTTTTGATTGGTTAGAACTTATTTCTCTGAACATTCTAAGAGTGTTATCAAAATAAAAGGTTACAATGATCAGTTAAGAGTGTTTGATGGTCCAGAGCTGAGCATCTGACTTGATTTGCATTTGTTATTATTTCATTAATATATTCATTTTTAGAAAACAAAGTGTCTACAGGTAATAGGCTCTCGTTCTATGCACTGGGTGCCTAATTTTTACATGAAAACACATAAAAAACAAAAGGACTGCCCATCAAATAATCACTCCAACCCTCAATCCATGTCCTCCATAATAGTGCGAGAAAATATAAATAATTTATAAATGCATAAAAAAGTTAGGATTGTGTTTAAAAGCAAATAGGCTAAGTTTACAAAGCAGTCAAAGAAACAGAAATTTCATGTGGTGAAGACACTATTATCATCTAATGAGTTTCATTCTAAAATGGATGTTTGCTCAAACATCCCCAAGGCACGTTTTGAAAGATATCCAGATACAAAGGAGGGATACCTAGGAGGAATTAACTGTCTTTTGAAATATATACAGAGAAGGCAAGTTACTTGTGTATTTCACTTCTCCTTATCCATGATCAAAATAGTTATTTGAAATAGCCCAACTCCCTTTGAAATGCAAATTAGGAGGAAAACTAAAAGACTTCCTTGTCAAGAGACAAGGGATAACGAACTGAAGCAAATATGCTTTAACTTGGAAAATTATTAACTCACCAATAATACACAATCACAACAATGTCCAAACATCGTAATTAAAAGGTTTAGACATCTGAACACAACGCCTCAGAGGGAATATTGAGTTATAGGAGGAGTAGAGGGGACAGGCAGCTATCTGGCCCACTGCCCTTGCTCTGGGAAAAAACCCAAACAAAAGCCAAAGATAAACATGCCAAGGGAACAAGCTGTCAGCATGGGAGGTAAGTGAATTACTGAGATATAAAATGTATTTGCCAAAAAACTCTGTTAAAAAGAGCTATGCTAGAAACTGCATGTCACTTGGGTCAAGCTAACACTAAGAAGCAATATTACACTTTCCTTTACAATCATTCTATACTTTTCAAAAGCACAACTGTCAGAACATCTGGAAAGGAATAGTTACAGGATCCAGATGGTTTCCCAGTGCCACATAATCCTTTCACCATTCAGGGTCACCCCCACAACCTCAATATTGTCCCCTAAAATTTGCAAAAATAGATGCAAAAAATAAAAAAAAAATGGCTGGGATTTTAAAATCCCATTTCTCAGTCAAAGGATCCAATTTAAATTGAGTTGACACATACAGTCTTCAGGAATGGAGAACTGCTCTGACAGATCCTATGAGGCCCATTAAAGTGGGTTCTTGTCCTGAAGATTTTAGCAAGGCCATCGCAGAAGGCTATAGGAGGGGAAGACTTATCTACATTGACAGATCTAATTCTCATTTACATTCCTTTATACTGCTTTGGCAGTGCAAAAAGGTGTTAGTGTGAATAAGAATTAGGCTCTTAAATCTTTAAGAACTTAAAGTCCTAGATCAATAGCTTAGCGTTTACATGGATAAAAGCTTCTACCTTTCTATGTCCCCAGTCACTCCATGCCTCTAATTCCTGGCACCTCTTTCCATTACCCTCATTTTCCCCCTTCATCCTCTATGCCCTGACAGTTTCTTGCCCACCTCCTCCATCTGCCTCCTCCACAGCTCCCAACTCCATGCCTTGGCAGAGCTCACCCAGCCCCTATACTTCCTGTTCCCCTGACCCCCTCTTCTTGACTCTTGCTCTTCCATGTTTCCCCACTTCCACAGCCATGACTGAAGTCTATAGCAGACCAATTAATAATTATGAAAATTGTAACATATCTTTAATCATTCCTCTGTTTACATATGCAAATAGCTCTGCATAAGTAAGGCCTAAGTTGTAGCCACCGGTAGCAGGATAGGATGAGAAGACAAGGAAACATGAAACAAAATTTAGGATACGTGCAAATTTGAACAGAACAGAGCATTTTACCACCTAGCTACATTTATAAGGAATCAGAGCTGGGGCTCTCTTTCAGCGTGATTCAAAAAAGACAAAATATCAGTTTCTCATTTGCTCTTAATTTGTGGTCTGGGTCTGGGGAAGGAAAATGCTGTTTCTTTCCCTCAGGGCCTCTGCTCATACTTTGTATGCCTCTTCTTTATACATCTGCTCTAACAAATTTCTAGTTAATCCCCTCTCTGCCTACCTAAGTGCGCTTGTCTTCACTACTGGGGTAAGTCAACCTAATTTACTCGACGTAGCTTAGGTTGACTTACTGCGGTGTCTTCACTGCGCTGCATCAATGGGAGACGCTCTCCTGTCGACTTACCTTAATCTTCTTGGAGAGCTGGAGTACTATGGTCGACCGGAGAGCACTCTGCCATCGATTTAGCAGGTCTTCACTAGCCCAGCTAAATCGACCTCTGCTGCATTGATTGCAGCAGTGTCAATCTTTACGTAGTGACGACCAGCCCATCATAAACACATTTATGTAAGTATTTTTTTTAATTCAGGGGACCAGGATCAGTTGGGGAATTAAAAAGACTCTTCAGCAAGGCCAACAAAGCAAAACAAATCTGGAAGCAAAGGCATGAGATTAAAAAAGTTAAGAAATTGCTCAAAAAGTCAACAACAGGGAAATGTTTTATGCGCCTTAACTTCAAACTTCTCCAACCTTCCAAGAAAATTTTTATCATGAGATATGATTTAGTATGTGCAATTTTTGAGGGTTTAGTTTCTTTGGGGGGGAAAATTGAGCTTATAATAGGAATCGAGCTTCATTCTTAACTATGGAGTGGCTACTGCAATTCCATAATTCCTACTTAATCAGTATATTGTAACTAAATGGTTATGCATAAATAAGTATATTTATCAGAGTGTTAGGTTAGAAATACTATTATTTTGCTTTAGCATTTATTTTATGATTCTGTTTTCTAAACTGAAATTACTCCTTTTAACACAGTTTGACAGCAATTTTTGGTGGGAGGGGGGTGGAGAGAAGTCAAGACTGGCTGTTTGACATTCCCAGAAGTAAGGCACCTAAGTCTTGTGACATCAAAGGAAGTGGAAACAGGAGAAGAAGTACTTGAACTGTGAATTTCCTCCTCAAAAGGTTGCTTGAGCGCACTAATTGCAGTGAGAAGGGAGTACAAGGAGAGTTTAAAGGCCAGGAGGATTGTAGTTATTAGACAGAATTATGTCTGTGCTGTAATGGAAGAATAACTGGTAAGAGAGAGCCCGTTTTGCTTTAAAAATCTGTGTAATTAAGAAGTACACTGTCCCCCTCAAATTGTCTCACTATAATTTCTTAACACAAAATACTTATCAAAATACTGGCATTATATAAGCTATTTTAAAAGTGTCATAATATATTCTCCAAATAAAATGAAATTACCACAATCTGCTCTTCAAGTTCTCTTAAAGAGATACACAATTCATCAATAGAATCAAGAACTTCTTTGTGTCTTTTTATTGTTCTCTCAATATATTTCCTTCCTTCTTCAAAACCTACAGTCAGAAAACAAACAGCACAACAATGAAACCAATACAATATTATATCAGACAAATAATTGCTCTTTTCTGTAGTCTCTGTTTTGTTCCATTAGTTTTACAGTATAAGGTGAAATCCCTCCTAACTTAAAGCATTATGGTTACGGGCCCTCACAATCTATTCGAGTCTTTAGGGTCAGTTCCTCCCTGACTAAACAATGTCACTGACCAGCTGACAAATGATTTTAAAGGGAAAGTGGACCCTATAAGTCTCTCTAGGGCTAACAGCTCTTTTATTCAGCCAGGGAAGACTTAAAAGGGGGTTTTCAGTCCAAAAATTATGCTGACCTCCCTGTCAAGGGGGAAAAAAAACAGTGAAGGGGATGAGGAGGCCTTTCCCAATATAAGGGTGTACAGAATGTGAAGGAACCCCCAGCAGCATTTCTGGTTGATTGGTGTCAAGAAGAGTCTGTTCCCCACACCCTATTCTACAGTAGTTAGGCTTAAAATGGTGAGCATGGCAGATAGACAGTGGCTGCTGGCCCCCTCCACACATAATTTTCAACATTGAAAAAATTGTAAGTTTGGGGTACCTAAGAACATATTAAAATTGTAATCTCGACATTTGGCTTATCAGTTTTCACTAAGCAGCCCAGGACTGGGGATGCCTCTTTTCCCAGCAGCGGGTGACACGGCATGAGCTCCTCTAGTCATAGGGCTTTAACACTAACCCACAGGCTACATGGCGGATGATTAGGTGGCTTAACTAAGCAAGGACTGGAGAAATGAATGACATCATCGGACCTTTTTCTCCATCCATAAACCTGCCCCAGTGTTTATTTTGTTGGGTTCGGGGCCTGTACCCTGGGCTGTCCTTTTCTTCTGGATATGTTGGCCAATTGTGCAGTTAGGTTCCCCAGCCTTCTAGGAGCTACTACACTAAAGATATTTTCTGACAAATTGGGTTGTAAGTTAATAGCATTGAATTTATAAGGAACTCAGGACCTAATTTTAAAGGACCTCCTGATTGTGTGCACTCAGTTCTTGTGTGTGCAGCCATTTGCACATGCACAACTTGCACTTCTACATGTAGCCATGCAAAGACAGGTTTTATTTGCATAAACTGGTATGTATACCCAATTTGTACTCTGAAAAATGTGGCCCTCAGTTCTGTGACTACCAAAAATGGTTATGAATTTCTTGAGCTTTCATGGACTTTTCATGGGCACTTAATCAAGTTTTATCAATTATGCAAATAATTGAGCATGGCTGTGGTATGTTCTATCTAGCCGACAATATTAAGCAGAGGGCAGCTGCATTCTGTACTAGCCAGATTTTCTGAGGGGCATCTACAGTTCCCTCCAGTTGGAGCCTGATAGATCAAGTAACTAGAAAGTCACTGGGAGATACAAGAAGAGAATCCAGATCTTCTGACTTCTACGCCTGTGCTTAAAACACAATCTTCCCTTCTGTCACTATAACATCTACAGAGCAATCGGCCAGCTACTACATCAGAGAGACAAGGTGGGTGAGGTAATATCCTTTACTGGACCAAGTTCTGTTGGTGGAAGTTAAGCTTATCTCTCTAATATCCTGGGATGGACATGACTATACCAACACTGCATACAGCTATGTACATGACATACATAATGCAATAATCAAATACCCCTAGTTATAAAGAGCATTAAATGTAAAATATTCATTCAGCTCCAAGATCTATAGCTATAAAATACTTCAACTTCATAGATTTTCCAGTTACAAAACACAGTTAACCATAAAGTCTTAATTCTAATCTCATAAAAACTTCAAGGACATTTAATTTAGACTTCAGGGTAACTCAGAGTGCAGCTGGAAAAGCAAATGGCCAATGAACTTTCCAGAACTTAAATTCTGATTTATGTTTTTTAACCCTTAGTTCTGCAACATCTCATATATCTCAGTCTCAGAACAGTGTGCTCCCCACAACCTTAAAGGTGGGAGGCTTTCTCTAGCCAGTGTGAAGAACAGCAGTTATGGCTACTTGAAGGCTCCCCCTCTCCTTTGGGTTAAGTGGGGAAGGAAAAGAAGGGCAATTGCTTGAGCAAATGGCTGAACGGAAGGGGCTCATGTGGGCCACTGGCCCATGCGCACCTGAGAGAGAGGGTATTTATACTTCGTTCCTTCCAGAGCAGCAGCATTGGTGGCTTCTTGATAACTGGATACTTCTAGAAACAACTGCCCAGTCAATACCTTAAAACAGCATTTGATTTTAACCCCATGGGATTTTTTTAAAAAATAAATAAATAAATGTAGGAATTAAACAATCCCTTGCTTTCTCCTGTCCCAAACTGTTCAATTTGCATTTGGTCAACAGCACATCACTAGGCAGCTTAAGGGAGTCATTACCATATAAGTGTTTAGCGAGGTCAGTAATCTGCTGAATTCTTTCCTCTTGTTGAGGCACCATAGGCTTGATAAACTTATTGAACTGCTTGTAGAGAATTGCCACTGCTTCCCTCGTTTTACACTCTGCAGAATACTTCCCAACTCTAGCGACTGTAGCACTTGCTTCTTCATACCAAAACTGACACTGGCATGTATTGGAGAGGGAAAAACCATGGCATTTAAGAAATGGATACAACAAAGCTTTATAAAAATGAAACAAATATTGACAATAAGAGCTTTTAGTGCAGTAGTTTTGTCCTATATTCTTGTGTCTCTTTGAATAACAGCAGTAAAGATGAGAAGTAACACAAATAACGTTCAGAAAATCTGTGGTGACAGCATAACCTGATGAATGATAACTCATTTGCAATATTATTCCTATAATCAAGAGTTGATGAATTTTCTGTTAAGTTGCTTTGGACTCCATACAAATGCATTCTCTTTACAAGCAAAATGATATCCTTTTTTAGTTACTACCTTTCGAACCTCAGTTTGGGCTGGGAACCAAGTCTGTACTCTTATGCATCAGTAGAAATTCTGCAGGACAAATCAAACCCTCAGTTACACCTGTTATAACTCGATGGACTTCAAACTATAACTTCAGTTACATCTGTGAAACCCAATGTCTTCTATGAGGTTGCACAGATTTAACTCACTGGAAATTACAACTTGATCTAATGCCCACAGAAATCTTTCTATTGAGCTCAGTGGGCTTTAGAGCACATCCTCAGTGAACAATTTAGAGTGATAATGCACGAAGTGGAACAGAATCTGGTGCTCACTCAGTCTTAGCTATGTTAGCTCTGCAAAGCTAGCAGGCGTAAAATTCACTAATTTTTTTGGTCATTAAGATCAGAACTGATGACTTTGCATACATGAGTCAAAAATCTATTGAGTGAGATGGTGCTATTTTTACAGTTCAGTAAAACAGAATAGTTACAAAACACTTTTTCAGAATAAAATAATTCTTTAAAGTTTAGCATTGGGAAATCCCAGCTCTTTCCAAGGGGTGGGGGACTAAACAAATATAATTGCACAATTGCTGCCAAATTGTTCACCTCCTCAGGAATGAACTGGATTTTGGGAATGTTTATTGACAGTGGGGAAATTGTTTTGTCCAAGGATTAACATTTTGATCTGTCATGAAGGAAAGTTATCAGTCATGCATTTAGATTAGAATGAAGAACTGAAACAGCTTTATTGCTAAAAATAAATGACCATGATGATAGGAATGTGCTTGATTCACAGAAGAGTAAAATGCTGCTAGAATTTGGTCTTTAAAAAACGTTCAGCACTACATTACGGAGCCTATTTTAGCTATATTAGAGTGCAATTTTAGAATTCTCCAGAAGGGTAGTAAATGAAATGCTGTTGTGGATTTGAGGTTTCCAGGGGCGGGTGGAGGAAATCATATATTTAGCTGATTTAGCAATTTAAAGTATTCTGTTTTAACCGCTACAGATTTGAATTTTTAAACAAGATTTCGTTTTGCAGCTTTACAAACCACACAGACAGTTCACAGTGACCAGCAGGCAACGGTAATGTGTTGATTTGGGGAACATGCGTCGCTTTTTGTTGTGCACCGGAATACATTGTGGAAAACAATCAAATGTATGTTCCAGAATAGTCCGAGTCACTGTGATTATCACTTATTGATGGAAACTTTGTTCTTACATGAAGGAGGGAGTGGACAAATAGCATTAACGAAACTAAGATATGTAGGACGCTCTGACAATTTACTATTTTCCATCAGAACAAGACAAGTCAATTTATTAAGTGACAGATGTAATATTACTGGAAGTCACTGGATGGTGCTACTGGAGATGGTCTTACTAATTCTGTTTATCTGAATGTTTAGGAGTTAGGTCTTGGGAAAATTCTGATTTTCAGCTGTGGTGCAGCTCTTTTTAGATGCTAAACATATCACCAGTGAAGTCTGTTTTGCTCTAACTAAAATATTTTTCTTAGGTTGCAGTTGCTGCTTAAAGGCTATACACATGAAAACAACCAACCAATACATTAATGGCCAAACTAAATCAATCCAGGGCCCAAAGCACAACCCACAGGGACTCCCCAATGGTCCCACACCTGTGCTGTGGCCCTGTACAGGAATCACAGCCCCTCCTCTTCTTGGGATGCCAGCAAGTTTCAGAGTTAAGACAAATGAAGCAGTTCAGAGGTTTGGAACTAATGTTTCAGGCTCTCTGCAAACTTAGACAGGCATCAGTTACAAACAGGTCACAATTTCAAGCTTTTCTTTGCACCCATAATGCCTACAAGCAGGGGTTTTTTTTAAATGAAGGTTGAGTTCTGATTTTGTGACTCCAGGAGCTGATTCTAGGAATGGACTTATAGTGCCCATGCAGAGGCCACTCAAGGCACTCTGCCGCCCTACACAACACTTCAGTGTATCGTCCCCCGCCACCACTCAAATTTGGCCTGACTGCCTGTCATGATGGATGGGTGGTGGGGTGAAATTTGAGCACGTGGCATTACGACTTGGCACATGGGATTGCAGCTGCCCAGAAATCTGCTGTCCTTGCAGCTGCCTACCTTGCCTATAGCTAGAGCGGCCTCTGTGCCTATGCTTTAATTCCATCCTGATTCTGCGGCATCAACATATTACAAAAGGGACAATTGCATATGAGCAATATCACTACCTTGAGTAACCTCTCCATTGTCTCTCTGATTAGGATATAGAGAGATCTGTCCCTCCGAGCTGGGGAGAACCAATCAGAACAATGCTACATCTCCAATTCCCTTGAGATGGTGGGAAATAGTATCACAAAGAAATCACCCTAATTTATGCAGATCCAGTGGTCAAGGAGCCCAGGGTAGGATGTATGGAACTGAAGCTGTAAATCCAGTTTGTTGGTTGGAACAGCAGCTACAGAAGGGCTGTGTTGCAGCCCCAGAGGTGAAGGTGGGTGAGTTAAACGTATCCCCCCAAAAACTCCAAGGTGTCTTCACAAAGGCAGTGCAGGGATTTATGGGTCCAAGAGGATTAATGGCAAAAAATCTAACTATAGAGGAGTACACTTTTATCTCCCCTTGCAGGCCCCATACTGGCCCTTTATCAGAGCTACAGAGTGGATTTCAGGTTTTATTAATACCTCTTCCATCATCTGCTGCAGATGCTCAATCCGATCCAAATTTTGCTTGTAATCCTCCACAACTCTGCCAAATTCGCTCAGCTGTTTCTGTAACTCGTTGACTGACTCCAAGAGAACACCAGCTTTACCATCAGGATGATTTATTACACAGCCAGTAACTTTCTTCTCTAAATTATCCATCTTCTTTCTCAGAATCTATTTTGAAAGGTGCACTCTTGTTAACAATTATGTCATGGATGTTTTTAGAAATTGAACAGTAGGGAAAATTTGCAAGCCTCCCTTCATAGCCTGTTGTCTAAAAACTACAGTTAAGAACACTATACATTTTCAAAAGCAAAGACAGAAGACTCTACCCTTAGATGGGCATGGACAACTCCTATTGCAGTCAATGGAAAAAACACACATCTCTCCAAAGGTAAATTGAGTTAAACATTTCCAACTTTTTAACTTTAAAAGAAATAGATCTTCCTAGCCATAAAAGATAGGCTCTTATTATTCACCCTTGAATAGAAAGATCTAGATGGTATCTAGAAAAAGGGCAAAGGAAGAATTTTAGCTTCTCATTTTGACTAAAAACAAGTTAATTTTTTAAAAGCATATTTTGTTAACTTCTACAGTATTAATTTCAACATACAGGTCAAGAATCTGATGTCAGTAACATCAGTGCAAATCTGGAGTGATTCCGCTGATTTGAAGAAATAGGAGTAACTCTCTATTTACACCAGTATAAATGATGTCAGGAACTGGTGTACACATTGTATGTTGTTATTCATAGATTGGAAGGCCAAAATCACGTAGTCCGATCTCCTGCTTAACAGAAGCCAAACCATTTCACCCAGTAACACCTACATCGAGCCCATAACTTCTAATGTTATTACCTGCATTTTTTCAGCATACATTTCAACCTGCTGAATTTGTATCTTAAGAACTTTCAGATTTCGAGCTTTTTCTGTTTTCTTGGTATAGTTAAATTTCAGGTTGTTGAATTTCTTTTTCAGATCTTTAAATGACTCTCTGAGCTGTAAGAAAATTAGCATATTTTTCAATAAGAAACACCAGAGCACATTTTAAGATTGTTAAATGGCTGCTAAGACAAACTACAACAGGAACATTCAGAGCTTCTCCCGGGGATTAAAAACACTATAGATCATAAAGGAATCTTTGTGCCCTCCGTTCCTCAGCAGGTAAAACTATAAGTCAATGTTTCTTTTCAGTAGTGGAAAAATCTTGCTGAATGAACATTTAACAATATTACATATAAATCCTTGAAAATATACCTGTAATATAAGCATTCTTCTAATGAGAAAAATTTGCTTAACTGCCTAAGGCCAGCATAAAGCCCTACGTACCACTTAAGCCCTGTGAGCATGGAAGGCATGAAGAGAACAATTGCATAAGGGAAGCTTTGCACCTCCTGCATGTTGAAGGGGGTCTACGAGTCAGCTAGCACAGAAAGGGATGGTTTGGTCAGGGTAGGAGCCAGTGGATACTTGCTTAGGGTTAAATCCTGGCCCCAAAACTTCCATTGACTTCAATGGGGCCAGAATTTCACCCATATGAGGTATTCGGAGGAATTTTGTCTGATATTCCAATTCATAGGCTGAAGTAGTGGCCATGGAGATGCTGTAAATCCCATGACCTGCCCATGTGTTGAGGGACATGAGTTTCATACTGTACAATTCTTCTTAGTTCCTGGATAAATAATCCACCGAGGCTTGGATGAATTTCATCCATTGTGACTTTCCCCTACAAAATTTGATTTAGTTTGTATCACCTTAGTTTTTTAAAGATATGACATGATCATTATACTATGAACTAGTCTTTAGCAACCACTCATGGGAGAGACAAAAATTAGTTAACAGGAAAGGTACTTTAATAAATGTGGAACAACCACTTAATCCATTTGTTTGGGGATACTTTGGGAGATTTTCTCCAGATAGGTTCCCTAATAAGAATAATTTTTTGTATAAAGTTCATTCCAGAAAAAACAAGCATTAACAAGTATCTGTGTTACATAATCAGAATATTACTGCAGTTGTAGGCAGTGTATTAGCTGTATAATAAGGAAGGTAACATTTAAGACCCTGATCCTGCGAAGAGCTACACACATGCTTAATTTTATACACAGTGAGTAGTCTGATTGTCTTCAATGGGACTAACAATGTGTAAAGATGTTCATAACTCTTTGCAGGATTGAGGCTTAATGTTGTGTCAGCGCTGGAGCTTTGGTGAAATTTTCAGACCCATAGTTTATTTGCCAAAAAAATGCAGTTTCAGGGTGACTAAAACAATCTGAGAATTCGGCAAATAGTTTTAGCCAAATACAAAATGGGGGGTGGGGGAATTGAAATAGTTGAAACGGTTCATTTCAACATTTTCTAAATGACACATTTTGACTTTATTTTAAAGCAATGTTTCATTTTGAAATGTAGCTAGATTTGTTTATTTTTTAAAGGATAAAACACACCTGAAAAACAAAACAAAATGAAAAAAAATTCATTTAAACCCAAACAAAAGACTTTGTTCTAAGCAAAACATTTTTGTTTAAGTGAGGAAAAACAAAATATTCAGTTTTGGTTCAACAATTATTTTTTGTTAATATGATTTAAATATGCTCAAAAATCATGCATAGTATATTATAATATCAATTTAAATTGTAAACAGTGCTCATTACCATGGCATATAATTGTATAGGCCTGTTATGGTTTTATTTATATATTTATTTTTACTTTGTTATCAGTGTTGCTTTGGGTTCATTTTAAAATGCTCTGTTATAAAACATATTTGGGGTTTTGTACAATCCTGTTTGTTTCCCTATATAACAACTTGCCCTATATATTCAGTGAGATTAGCACATTGAATATTTTGTTGAATTCCACTAATATTTTTTATTGGTTCAGAGTTATTTTTCCTTGAATCTTATATAGTTCTCCAATTTATTTATAACTGCTAACATGTCTTTTTTGCATATTTACTAAACAAATAACTTTAAAAAAAAGTTTTTAAGGGATAGACCACAAGAGACATGAGTGAACCATTTCTGTTTATAATGTGCTATTATAATGATAAGAAAACTGCTTAAAATATATTTTTGGTACCTTATAAAAGACATCATTAGAACTAAAATTTAATTTTGAAATAAAAAATTCTAACAATGTATAATTAATACAAATAAAAGAATTTAAATGCTTTTTTTAAAATGGGGGATCCTCCCACCCCAAACTTCATGTACCCTCACAGATTAAAGACTTTTGCTTTTATAAGATCTTGTACATTATGGCTGTATGAAATAAACTGTTCTAAAGTTATTTTTATCTAGACCAAGCGATACAAAGTAGATGTATAAAATTCATTTACCAGTCTTAATGATCTAGGGCCTGATCTGTTCCTACAAACACTTATACTGGAGAGTAACTTTATTCACTTGTGTAGTATCAGTGGGCTCAGGATCAGGCCCCCAATTTGGTATTTAACATGTTTGAGTTTTTGTGTATTTAAGAGTCAGTCAGACATATATTCAAAATCCAAAGAGTAATGAATGCCTGTTTTGTAGTTACTGTAAGCACAGTGGCTACTCATACATTATTATTATTTACTAATGTTAAACCACCAAGGGACATATTTTTCATTTGCATTTAATCTAGGAGGATAAAATTCCCAGCTAGCACATGATAGAAGCAATGCACAGACAGATGGCATTGACTCAGTCTGAGAGAAAGGAAGGGAATTCTATCATCAAGTGTGATCTCCAATTAGTTAAGCTGTTCATCCCTCCTAATTACAAAGAATAATAAATCTATGATAAAGCACCATGTTAATAAAGGCAGGTGTATGGACTGACATTTTGTCTTCAAAATACAAAATCTTCATTTTAAATCTAATTTGGAGGAAAATCCCAGGACTGACATATAGATGAGTAAGAGTTTATTTTGGTTTACTTTCAGAGCTTATACCCATACACTACTAATCATTTATAAGGACAGAGGCTCTTTTCATAGCACTATGGGTATGTGAAATGAGATCGCCTTGTTTCAGATAAGATGGTTCATGTGTCAAAGGTCTGCAGCTGCTGTCACTCTTCTCTCTCAGACTCAGTGGAAAACCAGCTCAAACTCAGGGCCATACACTGCTCCCCATCGACGCATGCAAACAACTACTACTGACATCAGCAACTGCATGCTCTCATTGAGGGCAGTATACAGCTCTGAATATTTAGAAGCAGAGAAATCTAACCTTATCTCAGTTCTTCACCCATTTACTGCAAAATGCAATGTGAAACTGCTAATAGAACTTTTCCTCCAAATACCTACATGATTTCAGCCTCCTGGTTTAATGGAACTTTATCACATAGTGATCTGACCATAGTCTCATAGTCCTTATTCATGCAGCTGTTCCTAACTATAGTCTCCTGTGTCATAGGTGGAGAATGATGGTGGAGGAGGGGGATGGCTGCTACCACTTGCTAAGACTTATCACACAAGAAGCACAAAACAAACACTAAAAGCAAGGCATAAAGCCGCTTTAAAAATGTTTTTGTTAACTGTAAAGTTTAAGAAAAACATTTTTCATTCATATCCAAGATTCTTCCGGAGGCACTTCAATGAGGCATTCCCCTCCCACATAACCTCCTGGAGTCTGGGTATGAAAATAGGCAAGAGGGGAAGGTGGCTGAAAAGAGATTTTCAAAGGGATAGAGACAAAGGAACAAACAGAAGCAAAGCTGGCTAGAAGGTGGGGAGAGGAAAAAGATGCCCTTCAATTTATCCCTGGTTATGACTTTAGCACTGGGATCTTGTCAAGTCGGCAAGGTGCTGAGAACCCTCAACTCCCACTGACTTCATGAATTGAGGGTGCTCAGTGCCCCTCAGGAGTCCTCAGCACCTGGTAGGATTGAGCCCCAAGCACCAAAGTATACCTCCCTGTAAATTGGAGGAATATAACAAGATGGGGGCTTGGGGAGGGCTGAGGCTCAGTTCAAGGTACATTATGGTACAGATTAGCTGCAAGGTGGTTTGCAAAATTATTCCCAGCTGCGAAAGGTCTTTTTGTTGCAAAGGTCAATTTGCAAAAAGAATTAAGAACAGGAGTACTTGTGGCACCTTAGAGACTAACAAATTTATTAGAGCATAAGCTTTCGTGGGCTACAACCCACTTCTTCGGATGCATATATGCCACAAGTACTCCTGTTCTTTTTGCGGATACAGACTAACACGGCTGCTACTCTGAAAAAAGAATTAAGCCATTTTTAATTTCATGTGCATTAGCTAAACACAGGGCTAGATCCTGGACTTATCACAAGGCCTGAGTAAGGGGAGCACATAGTTGCACTATCCTAAAAGCATATCAGTGAGTCACAATTCAGACCCTGGCTCTCCTTTGTTCAGGGTAGCCCCATACCTAGCACAACTTACTTCCTCGTCTATACTGGCTGATGCACTTGGGTAGTATGGAGGGGTGGGGATGGGAGACAATGCAAAGCTCCACCTGTATTCTTTCTCTGCCCCCCTGTGTAGAAAGAGGAGCAGTAGCTCTGTAGGGGTTTTGTCCCCTTCTTGTGCACAGACCAGTTGTGCAGGTAGCCCACGTAGGCAGGTAAAGGGGATAAAAGACCTTGACACCTGCTTCAGACATTACAAAGGCTTACAGGGCATGAGCTCTTGTTTTTGTCTTTGCAAGCGCTCGTTTAAAAGTAACAAAAAAGACACAGATTTCTTTGTTTTGTCTGCAAGACTGTTGCACATCTGGTTTTACACATCTAAACATAAAATTTTTTCCCTGCTTTTTAAAGGAGCATTGATCCTTTACTAGTAGACCAGAGTCTTAAAAACAAAAAAACAAATACACCATTGCTTCTGATCTGAATATAGCACTTTCAGATACCAATAAGTCCCTGATCCTGCAAACACTTACAGCACGTGCCTTACACACATGGTTAAACTCGTCACACTAAAGTTAAGCATGTGCATAAGTGTTTACAGTAGGGTCTAAAATTGCTGATCACAAACTGTTTTGAATTTACATTTGAAATTTGGTGTTGCCAATTGGTAAACTGCAAATAATTAGGTTAGCTGGTTGCTGTTAGTGTACTGTTTGACAGGCACTAACAACTGCTTCCTACTACTGAGAGATGAAGTGAAATGTTTACTGGCTTACATGTGGTAGGTGGCAAAGGTACTATTATTTGATACATGTGTGCTTGTTGTTAAGAATAATATCAGCCTTATTACTGATGTTTAATAAGAGTTTTAAAATAGTGCAATTAATTATTTTAAAATGTATTTAAGAACAAACTCATAATTTTTACCTTCTTGAACAAATTCAGTGTCATCGATTTACTTGGTATCTATGTAGTTTTAGTTTTAAATGTTTAATGAAGAAAAGTGGCAATGGATTAACATGTTTTCAGGTACAATTATCTAAGCATTTGTACAGAATTTGTATTTGAAACATCCTCTGTGCTAAGTAATAACGGAAATGGAAACTAATTAAAGACAGACATCAAAGGGGCTATTTAGCATTATTTCAGTTATATTAAATACAACATTCAGTTAGGCTATTGGGTGATAGGCATTAACCCAGTCAGCCAATCTACTTTCTCAGCTACTTTTATACCTTAATTGAAAATATAACCATGTAATTATTTTTACAGGGGGTTTTCATTAGGTTTGAGGACCTAATGGGTTGACTGTATTTTGCAAAGCAGCTACTCAAGAGTATTGATGAGTAACAAGTGCACTGACATTTATTTCATTTAGGTTTTGGGGACAGAGGAGCATGAAAGTAATTTCTCACTTGCTCATGCTCTCTCTGGGTAATCCAAAGAGTAAATAAATAGAAATATCATTTTACTTAGCAGGGAATCACATCGCCTCTGCCATTACTGTGATCACTGCAGAATCCTAGGAACATAGGAATGAAACCGGAAGTCCATCTAGTCCAATAACCTGTCTCTGGCTGATCTTAGATGCAGAGCTGGTTGGGAAATGTTTTTTCCCCCCTGCAAATAATCTTCAGTTTTCAGCAGAAAACTGAAATCAGAAATATTTTGACTGAAACCTGGAATATTTTGTTTGTGAAGTGCTGCTGTGATGCTTTGTGCTGCTGTTCTCCTCTCTAGGATGGGCTCCCTGGTCAGACTACATCTCCCATGATGTACCCCAGTCTCCCCTGCCCCATTATGAAGAGAGGTGGTTCATACTGGCAGTTGGCTGCAGTGTATCATGGGGGATGAAGTCCAGGGGGGAACCTGACCCACAGAAGAGACTGGGAGCATGAGGCACCTGAACTACAACTATTATGAGGAACCACAGTGTTACTTCAGAATCAAAATATTTCAGTTTGGGGGCATTCAGTTTTTCAATAACAATACTGAAATTCTCCCTGAAAAGTAGGCATTTAAAAATAAATAAATAAATAAATAAATAAACCCCGTTTAATCAAAACCCCAATTTTCTGCTGAAAAACAGTTCAATGGAAAATTTTCAACCAGCCCTTCTGAGAAATGTACAAGATTCCCTTTAATAGACAATTATAGATTAACCTATTTCAATTAACCTATTTCAACCTATGTCAATTTCTTCCTAATTTTGATTTTTGCTCTGACTGCTACCCAACGAACTGTGGATGTTCTCATTATCTACATTAAGTGGCTAACCCATTTTTAAAATCCTAACCTTCTTGACCTCTGTAATGTGTTGTGTCAGAGAGATTTTTCATTCATTGGTTTTAAATGTTACCATGTTTGATGAGAACAGGGTAAATATGAGTGCCACATTTATCTTCTCTATACCATTCATTAGTATGTATACTCTTTCTTGTCCCCTTATTCATTCTCAGTCCTTTCAATCTATCAAACCTCTATTCATTTTTGTTGTTTATAATTGAATCGCTATTTCTGATAAATATGCAAGGATATTTTATTGTTATTATTTATTAGTAGTATTTGTATTACCGTAGTGTCTAGGAGCCCTAACCATGGAATAGGACCCTATTGTGCTAGGTGCTGTACAAACATAACAAAGAGCTGGGCCCCTGCCACAAGGAGCTTACAATCTAAGTAGGGTGCCCAGAACTGAACACAGCATAAAAGTTTTCAAAGCAGCATGTATGTTATTTTAAAAGAGCTAACTGTAATATAGCACATTGGAAATATGAACCTTAAATTTGTTTGTTGACTCGGTTAAAGGTGACCTGCCAGGGGAAAATACATGGATCTTATGTCCCTTTAGTTTCTTTGTGGTGTATAAAGAAAGCCTGAAAGGTTTTTGTTAAAAATTAAAATAAAATAAAGTAATGAAAATTTGCTTTTTACAGTCAAAATCCAAGATATTTCTACCCTGGACGATGCTATGGTGACTGGCAAAATAGTGACATTGCAAATGGATCAACTGATAGGCTAAGTGACTTTTAGTCAGACTGATTAATGTTTTTCTTTCTTTCTATGTTTTTGTTTAACTTCAGTGCCTAATGAACGATTGGCTGAAAGGATGTCCTGTTAAAGTCTCAACACTGCTGCAATTTAAGGTGTCAAACCACATAGCTGAGGCCCCCAAAATTCCTCTAAGACCCAAGGAAGATCAGATTTGACATTCTGATATTTCTAAAGTAAAAAATGATTAAGTGTTTTGTTTTGTCTTTTTTAATGAATGCCTTCTGGTCTTGTTTATACACAATTAAAAAAGGAGGGGTTGGTAAAAAATCATTTAAAAAATCCTTTGCAGGTCACATTTAAACCTCTAATTATAATACCGATAATTCTTTTTAATGTGAGGAACAACAGTACAGTTACATGATACATAAAATACTGCATTTGTTTGAGGCTTTTCTTTAAAGACATTTATAAACCCAAGCAACTGAACTAAACCAGATTTAGATAAGAGCTTTGCTGCACATCTGAACCTGAGAAAGTGCAGCTGTTATATTTGCATCCCTCTTTTTGTGTGTGAAAACCATTAATGTCAGAATAGTAACTTAATGTAGATTTGAATACAGGGTTGGATTTTAAACATAGGCCATAGATTTTACTTGTATGTGGATCAAGAGCTGCTGGTAAGATGAAAATCAACTTTACTGTATATGTATGTGGTATTTGTGGGAATACCTAAGCCATAACACACATTATAGGACACAACAGTTTTTAGTAATTTAATCTGTTCTTTTCACCAGACCTCATTTATCTCTTCTCTACTTGTGCAGTACTGGAAGTTGTGTGACAGTTCCTCCTCATACTTATCTGCTTTGATTCTCCAGTTAATGCTGTCACACTCCAGTGTAGCAAGCTCCTGCTGTAGAGTCTTTACAGAAATATTAAAGCAGTTCTAATAAAAGAGAGAGTACAAAATGAAATAATTATGAGCTGGATCTGCTGCCTACACAACATAGCAAACGCCTAACTCTTATGACATTGCTTATGGTTTAAAATACAGAAAACGTTTCTGCTTTAACTTAGACTTAGTCAATTAAAAATAAAATTATTTCAGAGAAAGAATATCTATCCCAGTGTGGGTACCATTAACCATTAAGGGCTAGATTAAAGCATTGATCCTAGCCTATAGAAAGGGGAAACGTGGCTGCACCACCCCAGAAACAGTCTAGGACAGGAACTGTGGTTCAGAGTTGCAATTCCTGCCCTGTTGGTCCTGCTTTGAGCAGTGGTTTGGACTAGATGACCTCCTGAGGTCTCTTCCAACCCTAATATTCTATGGTGTCCCCCAGGTTCTGGCCAGTCCCCTTTCCCCTATCTATGGGGAGTAGTGGCACCTTAGAGCCTGCTCCCTCCTCCCATGTGCAGACTGGTAACGTGGATAACGTATGGAGGGGGAGAAGGGGAGTGCTTTGTGCCCCCTTTCCTCCCTTGCGCAAATATATAGGGCAAGTGACAATCTTGCCAGGAAGGAATAATGCTTTCCTAAAACAATACTCATTTCACTAGGAAAATTAGTCTCTGGAGGAAGGCTAGAATCTACTAATAAGATGACATTTTTATTATATTTCCCTGTTTGTTCTTTCACCATAATTTGTTTATAAAAGAATACGGATGCAAAACCACCTCTAAAAAGTAGCAGGAGTCTAAAACTTGCATACTTTAGTAGCTGTCAGGAAATCAGCTATTAGGACCTGACCTGCACAAAGAATATCAGGGAGCAGGAAAGCAAATTTTCCCTCCCCACCCTCCAACATTGACTGTATTCACAGAACTCATAATTAAAAAACAAACAAAAAAAGAAAAACAAAATAGTGTGATTTCTGAAAAACTAAACATGTTTTCTCTGCACCACGATTCATAAAGTTAGCGGGACTGCAAGCAGTAAGCTCCACTGTTGTTGAAGACTTCTTTTAGTTTGATGCAAAAGAAAAATCTGCAGACAAAATCAGATTCACTACATTAAAAATACATTTTAAAAACATAAGTATGAAAATGCTTAACCATTTTGCTTTCTATTTTTCTGCCCTCTTTTAGAAGAGTTATTAATGCTATGTATTAGTTTTTCCCCAGGGCATTAATGTGTTGTATGCACATCTAGAAGTCAGTCAAATAGCTCTAATGATTCAAGCTATTATATGCAATGCTAAATGTACTGATCTTTCAGATATTACTTACAGGATGCTGCACTGCAGAAAGGCTGTCCACTCCTAAGGTAAGAGCCAGTTTATATAGATGTCCAATATGCGCATGTTTTTCCTGAGTATTAGCAAGGTGGACTCTAGCTTGGTGTGCATCATCAGGGATCTCACTTGTTTCAGGAATCTCCAGTTCTCCTGATTTTTTGAGACATTCCAGCTGGAATATGTTTGAAATAATTTGTTAAAGGAAGTTATACTATTCTCTTCCTCACCATCATATGTTAACATAATAAAATGTGTAGGGGTAGGCCCGAGGCACAGAATTTGTGATTAGATCCAGAGTTTGAGCTCACCAGATTTCAGAGGATTTCAGATCCAGAGTTTCAGTTCAGTCCCACAGGTGGGTAAATGTTTTTAGTTTGGGGCAAAACAAAGATGACAGGTAGTACCAGAAACAAAAAGAAATTAGTTGCAACAGGAAAAAGGTATATATTTTTAAGGATACAAATTATTATACTTACTTGTTCTTTGACATGATGGAATTTGACTGACTTGTTGAAGATTTCATCATATTCTGTCATCCTTTCTTTTATCCTCTGATGAAGATGAGTAAGCTCACTTACTTTCTCAGAATTTTCTTTAACAGGAACTCCTTTTAGGGTCAGCAATTCTGATAATTTTACTGTGTATTCAACCTCAGCAGTTAGTTGCTAGCAAATAAACACAATACATTATTCAGATTTGCAGGAATTACTTTTCATGTATTATTTCATCAAATGTAAATTAGTGATGGGGAAACCGTCTTAGAAAAAAAATGCTATCCTCTTCTCAATGCTCTTCTGAGTCTTTGCTCATTTCTAGAAGCGAACCTGAACTTTTTAGAAATGGATCTGAACCAAAACCTCAGATCCATAAACTCCTACAGTTAGGAATGTCTGGACCAGTCTGCATTTCGAGCTGTGGACAATCTAGTTTTTTGTTCCCCAAATTTTCTATTTCCCTTGTACTTCAGGATTCTAGCAAGGTCAAGAACTGCAGGGAACAAAATACAATGCAAAGGGATCTTCCTGTAGTATTGACACTCCTTTCTCATTTTCAGATTGATATTAACTCGTTGGATATTAGAGAATTCACAGATGAATGTCACCCTAGGATCTGGAGTTTAGAGGTGGCAAATAGGGGTGCTTTGCTAGGAAGCAAGGAGGTCTTTTGGATGCTGGAAGGCATGAGAGGTGGGCCACAAGCCTGCAGAGCACGAATGAGAGGAATGGGAGACAGAGACTTTCCTGGACTCAGGAGTTATAATGTGGAGGAGGTAAGAAGCTCATATACAGAAACACCCCAGCCCCCAAGCAGTTCTGCAACTCCCAAACATGGAGCTGGGATATTCTCCTTTTTTTGCCCTTGTGCACTGGACTAGTCTTTCTTCTGTATATCCAGCCTTTCCTTGTGCATCATTCCCAATGTGCAGCTAATATTGTAGGTGACATTCTGAGGAGTTTACACACCACAAAAGACAGTTTGCATCACAACCCTATATAGAGTATAAAATGGAAAGCCTAATCCTGCAAAGACTTTTTCCTGTGCACAGCCCCACTGAACTCAATGTAAATGTAACTCTTTGCAGGATCAGGGATTTGCAAAGAACTTTCTTTCACTTTGGATCTCACCAATCCAATCTGTTTTCTCACCTGAAACTGTTGTTTCATTTGGTTAAATTTTTGTTGTAGTTCTAAAAAAATCTGAAGGTTACTCCCAAGGTCAACTGCTGCAGGTCTGAGAGCCTCCTCAAGAATCATTAAGTTATGAGTAGTCTAAAAGAAATAGTGACAACACATGAGTACATTTTTATCTGCATTAAATAATTTACATTTCATTTAAAAGCTCATTTTTGTAAATAAAGTAAAAAACAAATCATCTAAGTTCTGTCAGTAGAATTCCATAGAGTGATATTACACCTATAAAAAAGGTAGATCCTAAAGGTAATGTAAAGGAAGCTGTCACCTGTCCTAAATTTGTTTTAAAATTATAAATCTCTCTCTCTCTCTCTCTCTGGTACAAATCCTCTGATGTTCTGAAGGGCTACTGAAGACCCTAAGCACACTGCAGCTGGAGAGATTCACATGCACTAGGGTGAGGGGAGGCTGGAAAAGCGACACACAATGGAACCCATAGAGCTTTCTCTGCAAGAGCTTGGAGAGTCGTTTAGCAATAACTAGGTTGGGGGTATCAGTGGATAAACAGTTAGTCAGATGAACTGGCTAAAACATGCGTAGGGTGACCAGATGTCCCGATTTTATAGGGACAGTCCTGATTTTTGGGTCTTTTTCTTATACAGGCTCCTATTACCCTCTGCCCCCTGTCCCGATTTTTCACACTTGCTGTCTGGTCACCCTAAACATGCAATACTGTCACATAGTGGGCTGCAGCCATCACTTTAGCTGCTGAAGTAATCTGCAATCTGCCCCTGGGCTAGAGAAAATCCTTTTCTCATTAACCACTGCATAGCCCATTTACTCTGGCTTTGTTCACAGAACTAGGATTTGGTTTACTGGAAGTAATTAATACAGATGAAGTAACCATTCAGCCACAATCATGCCAGAGAAATAAATGTGTGATGTCTGGCAAGGTAAATTTAAATGCTCTTCTTTGCAATACAAATACATGATTAGAAAATTGTAATGTGCTTGTAAAAAAACTAAGAAGAAACCCATAACATTTATAAACATTCTACTTTTTTTTCTAACAATGTCTCTTTCAACAAAATATTTGTAAGCTTAAAATTCAGTGGTATCAGATTCCATTCCCACACCCAAAGTTAATGCTATGCACTGTATAAAACAGTGGTTCTCAAAATGTTGTCTTCAGCAGAATTTTATGGTGTGCACAAAACAAAAAAGGTTGGAAAAATCAAGCAGTTTATTGCAGCAAACAGAGCTGGCTGAAACTGTTTCAAAATTTGAAATTACGACCAATTAAATATTGAAAAACAATTATAAAATGGGAAGAATTTTCGGCATGTTTCATTCAACAGTAGCAGAAAATAAAGTTGGAGATATTAAAGTATGTAGTCCATACAGGGTGATCTCTGTTGCATAATCTGCAGAATTAAGTGGTGAGAGAACCACTGACAGGTGATAATTTCAGACTATTAATGATGCAGAAATGTTTGCCAAAACTGTCTTCTTCAAATATGTTTCACTTACTTTTTTAAATTGCTCTTTAAATTTCCAACATTGTTGTTTGATGGACTTTTCTTGATTGATATGGAGCTTCCATGTTGTCCACAGGTCTGTCAGCTCTTCCTTTTCTTTATTTAGTTTGTCAATAGTATCTTCAGTTACTTGCACAACGTTTTCCAACTTTAATATAAAATTCTTATTCACCTGGTAAATAAATGATAAATGCATTTTCATTTCCCCCAAAGAGAATAACACATTTTTTACAAGAATACAAAACAAATTTAGAGTTTTTCCCTCAACAAAATTTAAAAGAGAGCAGAAAACAATCAGTCTAATCCAGCATAATCATTTTGGAAATTCCTGGTTGTTTGTATGTGTATAAATGCAGTGGTTATAGAGGACTGGGTGGCTGAAGGGAGTGGACATTGGACATGGGAGGCTGGTTCTTTGGTTCAGCAGTGACCAAGAATTAGCGCCTTCTAATGACTGCTTGATTGCCATGCAAAATCAGGTGGCGTCTTCAAGCCAATTCTTAATGGACAGTGTTCAACATCAGAAAAACCACCAACATTGGCATTAATTCACACAGTTGTTGGAATGTTCAGCAAAGGATTGAATGGGACTGAAGGAGGAACTACTTACTTATCCTTAGATGTGGTTCCCTTTGCACAGGCTGAAGCCCTTGTGGGATAAAATGAGGCAAACGTATTCAGTACTTGTGGGTTTTTTGTCTTTGGGGTCTTTTGGAGGACTCACCTCAGTGACATCATAGAAAACTTGGTAATTCTCTTTACTCTTTTCCCAACTCTAGCCCAGAATTTTTCCTCTGAGGAAGGCTGTGTGTATAAATTATATCAGACACGGATAAAGATTTATAATATACCCCCCAAGAATATACTAGGACCACATAAGCAGAAGACATGTTGGCAGCAATATCTAAGTCTTGGAAGAGGCAATATCGGAGAGAACATCAGCAAGGATAAGCTGTGTGGAGACAGTTCTATCATCCATTTTTCTAAAAAGTATTTTCATATTTTCCACTAGTACAGACTGCCTCTTAGTGGATGCAGCGTAAATTGTATATTGCACAAATAGAAATATGAGAGTCTAATGTGAATAAAATGTGTCTGTGAAAAAACAGTTCTAAAAGGTTATTTTATTTTAATCACAAAACTTTTTGTGCTTGCTTGTCCTTGTCCTGTTAGCCGGAGTCAGCAGTGCAGTCTTGTAGAGCATGTAGGATTGGCACAGCTTTTACAAACTGTCTGGCCAGGCTGAATGTTCTTGATTTAAAATGAGAATTTTCCCTCTCTTAGGTGGACTGTCTGCCACAGCTGACAAGCCTCACTGGATTGGATAGGGGACACAAAGAAGTAAAGTGACTTTCCCAAGGTCACCCAGCAGAGTGAGGACTAGAACCCAAATCTCCTGAGTCCCAGCCTCAGACCCGCACCACTGTACCACACTGCCTCCACTCACAAAAGACTTTAGAGTTGAATTGATCATAATACCACCTAGCACTCATCTAGTGCTTTCTTAGTTTGAAAATATTGCACAAATACTCATCCTCGCTGGCCCCCTGTGATGTAGGGAAGTGTTAATTTCTGCATGGAGACAAACAAAAAGGCTAACATGACTTGCTCAGACCACAGGGCATATCAGTGACAGAACTAAGCATTGCCTGGCATCCAATCTGGAGGTCACTGCTTCACTTAAAGACCAATGGCCTGAAACTTTTCCTCCTCTGGAGAAATCCATAAGAAGGGGGTTCGGGAGAAAATGTTCATGAGGATCTCCTGGCAGAATTCCTCCCCTATTGTTCCTTTGATGGGTGCGGTTTGCTGCAACCCCAGTGGAATAGGAGTTAGGGCCAGCCCACAAACCTGACACAGGATCAGCGATCTGCAGAAGGCCAGGGTTATCTGCATGGAGACCCTGTGCTTCCACAACCCCAGATGGCACAGCTCCATCAAAATCATGCTAACAGGGATCCTGACTGTGGTGGCCCCTGGGATTCTCAGAAGGCACCTCAGTAGGAGAAATAATACCATCCCAAGCTATATAATCTTTTCTGCTTAAACTACATAGGGCTGGCCTACTTGCTCTTGGCTTCCAAGTGTCCAGCCTACTCATGCAGATCCCAGATATGCCAACTGCCCTCCACAAGGTGCAGAAGAGGGTTGAGAGGTGCAGACCTAGCTTTCCTCACTCACATTCTGCATGGGATGGGAGTGATCCATCAATGGAAACTATGGGAGGGATGATTTCACCTCTAAATTGTCTACAAATGCATTTTATCCTTATACGCAGCTGGATCAGCTGTTCACTTGCTAGCAATTCCTGCATGGCCTGAAGAGCGTTACATATCCAGGCATGCCCTACTGCACTGTAATGGAAGGTTTTCAAATTCTGCAAGATCAATCTACAAGAATTAGGTGGTGATAAAATGTTTAAGCTGCCTTAACTTCCTTTGAAATTTCAAGTTAAAAATAATTCTCACTTAAGAATTTCCTCCCAATTTAACCACATTACTGTTATTAGGGTTGGAGCCATCAATATTGTGTTTGCTTTACAGCCATGACATCAATATTAGAGCTGGTCAGGAATTTTCCATGGGAATGATTTTTTGATAGCAAATGCAGTTTCTGCAGAATCAAAATTTTCAAATTTGCTAAAAACATTAGTTTTTCTGATGAGAAAATCAACATGAAATATTTTGTTTTGGGTCAGTTCAGCCTGAATCAAGATATTTTGTTATATTGAGTTGACCCAAAACATCTGGTTTCAAATCAGTTAAAAAAATTAAAGGGTATTTTACTAGCATTGCCTTATGGAAAGTCTAATTTGGGTCCCTCACTGTCTCTTTTGAGTCGGTCTCCCTGGAGGACTTCATCCTCCACAATGCAGCATGGACACATAGATAGTCCTCCAAGGAGACGGGCTCATAGGAGACAATGGGGGACCCAAACTATGCCTCTCATAAGGCAATATGCTTGGGAAATGCAGTGTAATGTTGATCTCACTTGAAAAGGAGCCTTTGGAGTGAATTCAACAAAACAAATTGAAACATTTCAATTTCAGAAACGTCTAAATGTTTTGTTTCTATTGCAAATGTCAAAATGAAATGTTTTGCCATTTCCAAATCAAATTTTTTTAGAATTTCTGTGCTGCCAAAAAAAAAAAAAAAAATCAATCCCATTTTGAAATGAATGAATGAATAAATAAATAAATAAATAAATAAAGTGTCAAAATTTCCCACAGGTGGAAATTCCAAATTTTACTCAGCTCTAATTATAATCTCCCCTCACCCCCCCGTGACACACAATAGAAATACTGTGCCCTGGGCAAGCTCCTCGGGGCATGGGAGTAGGATACAAGATCTACTCTTAATCTGTCGGTGGTTATTGTAGTTTAGTGCATATTTGAAGTTATGATTGTGAATTTAACAATTAATCCTTGCTACAGTGATAACTCAGTGAACTACAGTCTCACCATATTTAATGAATTAATAAAATCATGCCCCATATCTTGAATGGAAAGAATCTTCTTTAAAACGATCGGCCACTGAGTATCAGCTGACTCAATCACAGTCTTGTTTTCAGCTTCACTCTCTGTTTGCACAGGCTCAGATTTATAGAATTCCTTCAGACTTTGAGCTTGGTCATTTACCTGCAGAAAAATGCAAGAATAAAAGTACAGGCCTCAATCTCTAAAATCAGACATGGTGGTAGATTTGAGTAATACATTAATGAATGCTTTCCATGTTTTAAACCACATCCTCCTCTACAGAAAATTGGACTATCATAAAACAAGCAGAAGTGTGTTAAGTAACCCAGAAACCTATTTTAACAGCTGGCAAATAGGCTAGGGACTGAAGTGAAAAGTTTATTATTCAACGAGAGCTTCTAAACACAGAGCAATATGTTTTTAAGTTGTTAGCAATTTGTTCAATGTCTGTCATCTATTATGTAAATATTATAAGTTGCTTAGCTCCATTTAATGTGAAGTAACAAAAATTAACATTAGATAAATACAACAACATATGTGACAAACAAAAAAATACTGACAGTCAAACATTAGGATATGAACAAGTAAATGTGATCTTGTTCTTAATTAGTGTCACTAGAATTGAGAGCTTAGTTACTATGGCCAAATTTATCTAAAAGATCCAGTTCCACCTCTGTTCTCATTTTAGTTTAAAACATACAAGGAAAATATTAGTTAATAGTGTTAAAGTATTTAAAAACAAGGATCCAAAAAACCCTAGTTCTATCCCTAGCCCAGGTTTATCAGTTACCAAATGCATGTTAGAAATGAAAGGACTGATTATGGTCTCAACTGGAGTGGTTTACACTTGCATCATTTTAACTCATTTTTTGCACCAATTTAACTAAATTGTTTTTTTCTACCAATTTAATTACATTGGTAGAAAAACCGGACCCTAGTGTGGATAGAATTATACTAATATAAAGAAATTAGATCATATAGCTTGGTTTTGGTTAATTTACTGAGGCAAGCTGTACCAATGTTAGCACTTTTATATAGATACCCACATGAGGGGTCGCACTTATTTAACTACATTGGTGTCTTAAACCAATGTAGTTAAATCAGTGCAAAAACTGCATGCATGCAAATCCTTATGCTTGTGTAAATTTACTGACCAGGGCTGGACTACACACAGTTCTTGCACTGATTTAACTGAGGCCCTATCTGAAGAAAATGACCTCATTTGGAATAGACTGCAGCCTATAGGCTGTGTAGCTAGGAGCATGGGTGCCAAGTTTGTATAATTTTTGGTGGTGCCCAGAACGGGTCCAAGTCCTGCCCCCCACACCTGTCTTGTAAGTCGATATATATCCTACCCTGTCCACTCCCTCCACCCTGGGCGCGGGGCCGGCAGCGGAGCCCCGGGCAGCAGCTGGGACCCCGTGTAAAAAGTAGAGGTGCTGCAGCACCCCCCGCACCCTTAGTTCCTTCGCCTATGAAAATAAGGTTAAGTGTGTCCTTCAAGTTGATGCTCAGTGGACAATTGTGAACAGAGATACTGTTTTCATCAAAATGTATGTAAAATATAAGCCCAAACATTGGTGGAGCCAGGCTCACGTTCCTGAATATTGGTGGAGCATGGGCACCACGGGCCCATATAACTTGCCACCTATGGCTAGGAGGCCTGCACAGCTTCCCTGGCATAGCAGCCCTAGATGCTATTTTAGGCTAGACAAAACCCTTGTTCTCTCTCCTTCTTGTAAAATTACAGAATGAAGTCCAGTAATTCAGTAGGGAATCTTTACCTCCTTCGCTGACTTTAAAAATGCCACATAAGCTTTTAGAACATCTAGTTTTGAACTAATATTTTTGTTAAGTGTTGTCAGTTCTTCATTTAAAAGATCAGCTTTGCTAGAGAAAGCTGCCACCTCTGCAGGTTCAAATTCTTCCACTTCATTAATAATTCTCACAGCTGCTTCCAATTCATGGGATGTTTCCTATGAGGGCATAAGCATAGAACACAGTATATGGTGATTGGAAAGGGCTCGTGAAAATTCACATCCTAATGTTAATTTCTGGTAGTATTGGTTCTTTCTGTTTAACCCACCCACCTAGATAGCAAAGGAACAACTCAAAATGTACATTAAATGCCAAAGCTAAACATCCATCTCCTGTGACAGTTTTGAAACCAAACACAAAGCCTGAACATAATAAAATTTGCTAATTTTAAATGGAAAAAATGTGGGTCTGAATATTTAAAATCAGTGTAGCCACTTGACAAAAAAGCAATGGAAATTCTGCACCTGGGAACGCTGATAGAGGAAAGGGATGTGCCACCCACAACCAAGAGTATGGTCAGTAAGTTCCCATGCAGTGCAAATCTGCAAGCCCCCAAAATCAGAATAGGGACCAAACAGCACATCATGTCTCCACTCCCCAAACACAGTAGTATCTTATAGAATCATAGAATATCAGGGTTGGAAGGGGCCTCAGGAGGTCATCTAATCTAACCCCCTAGCTCAAAGCAGGACCAATCCCCAGACAGATTTTTGCCCCAGATCCCTAAATGGCTCCCTCAAGGATTGAGCTCAGAACCGTAGGTTTAGCAGGCCAATGCTCAAACCACTGAGCTATCCCTCCTCTCTGTGGGTTGGTTGTGCAGATTTCCTGGACATTACCACCACACTGGTAGAATCAGCCAGGATTCTGTTTTTCAGCTCTACTGTGTTAGCTGACAACTCTGGGCAAGCACAAATGTTTTACTCAAGTGTTACACCTACTTTTTCTAATGGGCCCTATAAAATCTGAAACACCTCTTCCTCAAGTTAGATATTGGTTTGATATTACATGGAACCCAGTGAATAAATTGCCAGAAAGGACTTTGACAGCAACACTTCGTTCTCAAGAACACATAAGAATGGTCACGAATAAAATCCAACCCTAGTGAAAAGCCTAGCTAGCATTTACAGCCCTAGCATTGAAAGGATCCAGGGTTTCACTTAAATGTGAAAACTCTGGCAAACATGATGGTAAATCATTTCAGGAAACAAATCAGAGGGTTTTGCTTATGTGCTTTTCAAATGACTTCTGGATCCCAATTTTTCTCAAAAAATACATAAATACTTTAAAATGTGAATTTATGGAATTATTGTCCTGCTTGCATAATGTTATCATCCAAAACTGCACCTGTGAGGATGGCATCAGAACTATGAACTATTGTAGGAAAACTGTTTGATGCATATATTTCTATATCTAGAGGCCTAAGATAGCTTTGGATACTTTCGTCCATCTTTTGGATTCATAGCACATGGTATATTTATCTCTGAAACTCAGCCAGAATGCAAGCTATATACCCTGTGAAATTCCATAGAAGGAATGGGTAGGTGGCGAGGATACTGTAGTCAAAGCACATTACACAGTTTCTAGAGAAAGATCACAACAGGCAAAGGAAATATCCGCGTCAGAATAGTGTTACACAAATTGAGCAGAAATGTTGGCAAAAATTATTTCATGCTCATTTGCCACAAAGAATGGCTCTTCCTACAAAGCTTCTGGTATTTTTATATTCTTGCTGAGTGCTCTTCAGAATTGCTTGTATGTGAATTTTAGTTTCAGTGCTACTGCACAAATCAAATTATTGGATTATATAAACTGGTACAAGGCAACAAGGAAAATGAACAACAAAGATACTGAGTTTTCAGAAATATGCTCAAATTGGGACTAGTTCCAAAGAGAATATGTATAGCTGCATTTTTAAAGAGCTCCCAGCTTAGCCTTGAAATAAGAAGCTGGGGTGAGATTCCAACAGATTAGTAGAAAGTGGGCAGGTGGGGGTGGGGGGAGTGCTAAAGTAGCTTTAAAGCCCCTTTTGTATGTTGTGGGGCACTGGGGCCTATCTGGTTATAACAGCCTCCCTGCAATGATTCATGCTGCGGGGGTTCTTGGAAGGCAGCCTTATGGCTGTCTCTACAATACCTGTGCATGGACCTGGGCTTTTATACCATTCCAGCTCTTTTACCCAGCATGAAGGAACCTGAGTGGGAGAGACAATCTCACAACTGGAATTTTTGATGACCACATTCTTGAACATGTAATTTTTGACACCCCAAAAGTTGGTGGATCAGTGATATACATCAAGAACATGACATTTCCAAGAGTATTAAAATCTGACTGTGTTTGGGTCTTGAGATAATAACAGAGGATAGGATGATACTAAAAAAGATAGGGCTAAGATGAGAACTGTAAGAATTACCTGCTTGCAGTTTTAGTTATATTATTGTTGATGGACTATAAGATTTAATAAAAATGAAGACCTATTTTCCTTCTAAGGAAACATGCCCATCCCCAGCTGAGCATCTCAGCAATTTTGGAATTTTTAAAGTATACATTTGTGTCTAAAAATACTTAGGGTAATAGCATATGAAAAGTTTTTTTGTTTTGTTTTTTTTACCTTAGCTTGATTAGACAGTTCTAGGTATTCGTTCAAAACTTTCTCTGACTCAGTCAAAGAAGAACCAGGATCCATACTGATTTCAAGTATCGGACTGACTTTTTTAATTGACAATGATACCTTTAGTTAAAAATAAAATATATACATAATTATATTAATTTACATCACTAGGCATTATAAAAACACAAACTTGAATAGAACAAAGTGAGGGAACAGACTTAGCTCTTGGCATTTCACCACTTTGATTTCAGGAAATACAGAGGATGCCAAAAACAAAAAAGCCAACCAACCAACCAAATTCTTCTAACTATTTCAAATCTAACTAGAAGGTCTGGTTTGCACTTGGGACAAAGATTCATGCCTGCGCGCTCTCATTTTATCTAAATTGTTTTTCTCTATCCCTAATTAATCCAGCATTGTTATTTTAATAAATCTGAAGCTTCACAATGTTATAATCTAGAATTTACTGCCTTTAACTTAATACTTTCAAGATACTTCATGTTTTAAAAAAAAAGTTTTGTTTTATAGACTAGGCCATTTAAAAAAAAAAAAATAAAACATCTTTAAAACTTATCTAGCAATCTAAAAGGTCTATTTTATGCAGATATGTGCGCACAACTTCCCTTAATGACAACAAGAGTTATGCATGCATGCTGGCAACAGGATAGGTCATGAAGAGCAGCTGCAGAGGACTCTATATGTGGTATACATAGCCACTGCTAAGAATGTGAATTCACGTCTACCATCCATTTTAAAATGGGGCTTCTGAATTTGGTCCAGGAACTGTATGTGTCAAAGGGAGCCTAATTTAGCACCAGATCCTTCAGAATGCTTGGCTTTAGTGGGAGGTTGCAATGGAAAGTGTTTTACTTGGGAGGATGAGACACTAGGTAGCATTCTGTGAGAAAAGCTGAGACCTTTTGGCTCAAATGTTCAAAATGTCCTCGAATTCTGGGTGTCTGAGGCGGGGTGCCCAAAACTGAGGCACCCAGAATCAGAGACCACATATGAAAATGTGGGTCTAAAAATGATGAAGTAAAAAATAGTTACATTTAGAGAATTCATTTGATTTAGATTCACATTTTTCTAGTGAGGCCTTTTGTGTGAGACCAACAGCAGATACCAGTCTTTTCTTCTAGACTATTTAAACTTTGCAGTATGTTCATCATGCTCCAATATCCCGAAACCTCATTTATAGAAAATGTGTGTAAAGGAATCCATGGATAGCAAATTGACTTCTTCCCATTTGATTCAGAATAGTTCACTATAAGCATCATGTGTACATTATGAAATGTCAAATTGCATATTGAATAATGATTGAATCATTAAATATGATTTAACTGTTTTGGTCTGCACTTTGGGATGTCTTTGCTATGAACCTTGCTACAAATATTATATTGCATTAGAGGTAGAGCAGGCACATAGGCTCGAAGGGAAGCCCTAAGTGCCTATTCTAGCTCTAATGTAACATAACAGAGGCCAGAGGCAGCTGAAGACACTCAGCAGGCTTTCAGTATCTTTCAGGATCAGTTCCTTAATGAGTAAAAGGAGCTGTTATTGTGAATGTGATATACTTTCCTTTGGCAGCATAGAGAAATCACATCACCTGTGCTGTGGTTCACAATCCCCATTCCTATTGTCCCCCAAGTTTGTTTCACCTCCTTTCTCATTGTCCACAAAACAAAATTGGGAAAAAAATATAAAGAATGCAGGAAACTTACATGCAAGTCACAGTCCTGGATTGCTTGCTCATCTTTGCCAAAACAAAGGGCTCATTATTAAAGCAAATTCATGATTTATTATTTAATAGGTATAATGTGTTTGTAGAATCAGCTTCATTTTCAGAGCAAGGCATTTAAGTTTACTGGTGCCTACAGCTGCACTAAGCATTTCATAGGTACAATTCACCTATCCTCTCTACCAGCTAAGTACATTATTTGGTATTATTCAGCCAGAAGCGAAATCTAATGTTCTAACAGCTATAGTACAGAAATTCAATGCAGTCTGCATGAATACATTAATGACGATGCCTTTTATAATGTACCTTCTTTAGATAATCTTCTAGTGAGGCAGTGAGCCCTTGTTTCTTTAAAGCAAGTTCTTTGTAAGCAGGACACTGTCTGATTAGTTGATCCACTCTTTTCTGAACATATTCTATCATTTCCTGAATTCCAGTCATCCAAGAGCTAAATTGGAACAATACAGCTGTTAAAACTTCTCCTGGCTTGTGCACCAGCAAGATGACAGTAGGTGAATAAAAATAGCTCTTCTGTTTCATATCAGAAATGATTTAGCAAGATTTTAAAAATTCAAGTCTTAAAAAAACGTAACAGTAATAATGCAGATAAAAATCTTAAGGAGCAGAGCAGAGAAATGACATTGCCTAACAAATTATTTCACATTCAATGCATAAGTAAGGCTCAGACGGAGATACCCTTACTTGCACTGTTAATCCTAATGACTTCAGTTGCACTACCTATGGAGTAAGGTAGATTCTGGCCCTAAAGGAACTGAGCAGAAGGGAGAGAAATGAAACATGAACAATTGAAAATATCTGACATACCAAGTGGCTTAGATTTCTATTTTTAAAAGGATATTTCACTTTGCCTCCAAATGTTTCAATTTTCTTATAGTAAGTGCACAAAACTTATCATCTCATTCCCTCCACACTCTAAGCTAACATTTGTTTAAAGATGCTGTTTGAATAGAAGTGTAGAATAAATCAGTTGAGAAAGCACTGATTGTTTTATAATCTGAAACATTTAAGCACCAGGGTGCCAATTCGCAATAATATGAATGCTTGAGGCAGTTCTCTCCAAATTGTAAACAAGTCATCACATAGAATTAGGATTTGAAGATGGTGCATAAAAAAGAATTAATACTCATATTAATTTATTATTGAAGTTGTCTCTGACAAAGATAAATAAATACATAAATAAATCCAAAATTTAGAAGACGAATACTTCTAAAGTGTGAACTTTGTCAATTTAATTTCTGCTGACTTCCTAATGTACTTATCTTAATTCAACTATTTATATACGGCCAGTTCCAGTGATTCAGAAGACCAAGTTCAGCCATCCTGACTGAAGTTGAGGAATACCCGATCAACCATGCCTATCTAATGCCATGGAGTATGGCATTAGACTGAATCTGGTGAGAAAATGTGGACCGTAGAAAATCCAAGATCGCAAAAAGGACATACTTATTCCATAAAGTTGTTTAGAATTTTGCAAATTAATTTCTCATCATACTTGTAACCTCTTATTTTTCAGTCTAACCTTAAATTTACAAAAAGTTGTCCCTCTATTTCAACATTTCTTAAAGAAGAGATATTCCTTTTAATTTATCAGTGCAGCTCCTTCAAACACTAATAGAGATTAAGGTTATACCTCCTGTAGATGATTACGTAGAGCTTCATAAAATCTTGGAAAGTACTACTGATTCTGCATAACTTTAATACAAATAATTAATTTATGACTTGGTGAAAATGAGCTTAATCAGCAATGAAATGAGGGAAAATCTTAAACTACTGATAGGCAAGCAGACTGGCCAGGATCATAATGAGGGTTTTCTTAATAGAAAAAAAATCAATTGATTGAAGAAATTTTGAGTTAATATAAAATGCATTTTCTACAGCGCAACTGAATCTTCAACAGGCTTTCATTTCAAAAATGGAAACTCACATGAAATCAGTAACTATATTCTACCAATAGTCTCATTTGAAACAAAAATTTGAATTAGATTTTTTAATCTATTTGATTCAGAGGGGTAGCCGTGTTAGTCTGTATCAGCAAAAACAACGAGGAGTACTTCTGGCATCTTAGAGACTAACACGTTTATTTGGGCATAAGCTTTTGTGGGCTAGAACCCACTTCATCAGATGCATGGAGTGGAAAATACAGTAGCAGGTATATATACACAGTACATGAAAAGATGGGCGTTGCCTTACCAAGTGGGGGATTTGGCCAATGTACATGGCAGAGGGGCATTGCTGGCACAGTCTCTACTATTCTGTTCCAATTACTCTTTCAGGGAGCTGTAACCTGCTTTCAAATTCCACATAAATTTCTACTGGCTGCTCCTCTTAGCAGATGGTAAGCACTTGACAGCTAACTATCTATTACATTAGCAGAATACACCTTTCTTTTCCTTTGTATAACAAAGCAGCCACTTAAACATACAACTAAACTTCTTCAATACCCACATGCTGCACTAAGTCCTAACAGAGATTCCCATGTATGTTTCTGTAAAAACACTGTTTCTTTGTTTCTTCTCTTGCATCGGTCATTCTTTTATATTTCCTTCCCTAACTGGACCTTTATTTTTACTGTCTTTCTGATGGGAAATTAAAATTTCCTTCCCCTTCTACTCTCTGTCCTTGACTCCCAATGTTTTATTTTAGAAAACCTGGTTTCTTAGTATATTGTATTAAGTTTGGCTCTATCCAGGACTCTAGAAGTAAAATCCAGGCCCCATTGACTCTAAAAATTCCCATAGACTTCCCTGGGGCTAGGATTTCACCCTAGGACTCTCATACTGAAGAATTCAAAAATACGTTGAAAATGATATGGCCTATACAGGGATCATTTCACTCACCACAGTAAAGAAGCCATCTCTGGACTGAAATGTAGTAACTGCTGTTTAACACAGGACAGAGACACTCGACAACAGCCCAAGAGAGGAAAATAGGAAGAATACTGTATATCCAGTTGAATGAATAGAGTGAATTTAGGAAGGAATACAATTACACAAGTTGAAAGTTGGGGCTATCACCCTGAACACTTGTTGAAAGTTCCATAGAACCTTTAAAGGCCATACCATAAAGACAAGAGTACATGTCTTCAAGATTCTAAGGTAAATGATGGAAGCCAGGTGAGCTCTGCTGCTGTCTCTCTCCTGTTCCCTGCACTGCAGTGTCCTTACCTCAGCTCCCACTAAGTCTTCTCACTCACCTGTCACAACTAAGATCCCTTCCATCTCCAAATCCTTTTCTCTGCTGAACACCAAGTAACTAAAGGATCTTACCTCAAGTGGGTGGGGAGAAGCACTCATCACCTACTTTCTGCAAACATAATCCCACCAAAAATCTCTCCCTTTTCCTGACACAGCACTCCTATAGGCCCTTAGCGACTCAGATCACCTAAGACGGGACAGTTTCTATAAGTACTAGCCAGTCTCCTAAGATGAGTAGTCAGTACTCAGCTTTATGTCTCATTTGAAAGATGGCACCTCCAATAGCACATTGGTTTCATAATGATCAAGAGGGAAGACTTCCCTGCTCTCCTTTCAGAAGCATCATGTTAGCTAGAGCTCAAAATGTTTCTGGGGGCAGTGACTTATCTTGAAGATGACACATGTCAGGACTGGCTGCCAGGAGCACCATAAAGGTGGCATCTTCTGTGCACCCCTCTGATGTCATCAGTTCCTGACTCTGAGAGCTGTTCTTTGGAGTGTATGTTGGGGAAGTTGAAAGAAGAAAGCTAGTGTATTAGACCAACATTTCCAAACCTGGATGCCTAAAAAATTAAGTTCTCAAACCCATACTTAGGCATCTATATAAAAGTTGCTCTCTTTTAAGAGGCATTAAGCACCTGCAGCACCCACTGAAATCTATGGACGCTTCAGGTACTCAGCCATTTGAAAACCAAGCTACTTTGATTTAGGTGCCCAAATGCAGATTTAGGAGTCTAACTCTGGCACCTGGATTTGATCACTTTGGTCTCAGATAATGGATGATGATAGAGCATAAATAAAGGCTGACTCAGTCAGGGCCGGCTCTGGCTTTTTCGCCGCCCCAGGCGAAAAAGCCTCCTGCCGCCCCCCCCCCCCCGCGGGTGCCACCCCAAGCACCAGCTTGGGTGCCTGGTGCCTGGAGCCGGCCCTGGACTCAGTGCGGGGAAGATTAAAACTAGGTAGTGAGTGAACTTGTCAGGATTGGAGGGAAATCAGCAGGGGAAGGAGGAAAAACAGAAGACGTGTGGTTTTTGTTTTCTTTCTTGAGGAAGTGGGAGGTGTCTGTTTTTGTTTAAAAGCTAGGATATGGAAAATTTCAATATTCAAAATATACATATTTTGATAAACTATTAAGATGTGTATAATTAACTTGAGTGACCCCTTGTGACTCTGTTTCTTTAACCTTCGCTACACATATTGGTTGTTGCTCTTAGTTGTTGCGTTTTATCATATTTAAATCATAAGGTCTTCTAGACAGGAACCACATCTTTCTTATTTGTTTGTAAAATGTCGAGCACAATTATGGATGCTCAAAAACTAAAATATTAATACCATAAAGGACGGTTAACTTGGATATGAGAAGTTTTAACTAGAGGTCCCTGGAAAAGAGTTTGTCTTCTTTCAGTAAGGGCACATTCCTACAGCAAACAGTAGAACATATTAGCACTGCTGCTATCAGTATTGCCTATACAGGGGGATTTTTATTTAATTTCACCGCAAACCTCTAACACAATTACTTCATGTCAATTTGTCACTTTCCTTCTTGACCTGTCCTGGGGTTTCAATATCCCAGCAGTGCGACATGGGCTTCTAGTCTGAAGCAGAGTACTCAAACACAGTGAATACGTTTAAAAAAGAGAGAGAAAGTTAATGGCTGCAGTGATTTTATGGATCCATTCTCACAAGGTCTGCAGACTCCATACCATCAATCAATGCTGTGTTAGAAAGCCATGCAATGTGGAATACTGTTTGCATTGTATCTGCTGCCACTGGGGTCTGTGATTGCTGCTGGCTTAAGAAAACCACTGAAATGAAAGCAAGCCGAGGAAAACCCTCTCTTCTATTCTGCTTATCTGTTTAAATACCAGTAGGTGTTAAAGCAGCAGCAAGAACAATAAAACCAGCTGTGTGTGTTATGGGTAAAGTCACTGAACTTATTATAGGCCCTCTTTGCCTGGCTCAAAGCTTTAAATAACTCCAGTGGGAGCTACTCACAGAATGCAGTAGGACTAGAGGGCCCCCTCTGGATGAAAGTCAGTGCAATGTTGCTAGGGTTTTGTTTGTTTGTTTGTAAGTGATAGCACAGGATCCTGAAGTGAAGAGAGTTCCTACATAGATTTTGAAGTCCCCCACTGAAGCAAAGCTTTCTACAGCCCTGCAATGGGGCTAATTACCATTACATCAATCTCCTACCAAGTTGTGAAGAATAGGAAACAATCAACCTGATTTTGATCCAAGTTACACTAGTGTAAATCAGGAGTAACTCCACTCAGGTCCATAGAGTTACACCATTCTTGCTATTAACAATAGATGGGGGGAAATAAAGGTTATTTTATTAATAAATGAAGGTCACTAAGAAGCAGAGAAACTGTTCATATTCTTACATTTAGCTTAATATGTATTATGTTCATCTGTTATTAATTATTAAATTTAATATACAGGTAGGCACTTGCATTTGGGGTTGTAAAAATGACCATCTGTTGACATTTTATTTTATTTTATCTTGACCAGACTGTCTTTTCCTAAATATTTCACTGACATAACTGCAGCCACATGCACTAATATAGCTTTTGATGTATATAATTGATGTTATAGTGTATACAGTTCTAAAAAAAAAAACAAAAAAAAAAAACTTGTGACAGGAGACAGAGCAATCTGTTCAAATGATATCAGTGAAAAATAATAATGACAAATGTTGCGGACGCAGTCATGCCACTGAGACTTAGCCCCATACACAAAGAGTTACTGGCACAGACTGGCCCTAAATGAGTTTTTATCCTCGATCAGGTTAGTGGAAGATCTGAAACAGTCGAAAAATATGGAGCAATAGAGCACTCTTTACTCACCTGTGGGAATCTCCTTTACTAACTAAGGCTTTTCCCTTCTGCAAAGCATCAGCTGTGCAGTCTTTAATTTCTCCCTGTAATTCCTCATGCTTCATTGCCAAGATAGGCAAACTTAAACCCTCTGAGTTAAGGAGCTTAAGGTAAGCTTCAATACCTCCAAGAACATCAAATGCCTGCCAAATGAAACACACTTTTTAAGTATTTCTATTTATAATATCCATTTATTTTGTACAAAGCAAATATATTAGATGGACACTCAATATTTTCTCAAAAATGAACATCGCTAACTTAATTTAGGGCCTGATTCTGATCTCATTTAGAGTACACAAAGGAGTAAACAGGTGTAACCCCGCTGAAGTCTACAGAGTTATGTGGGAGTACATGAGAGCAGGATCAGATTTTGAGTTTAAAAGCAGAATCTGTTTTCTAGAAATAATCAGACCAGTGTGATTCTGAGTCTCAGCCAAAGTGGCTTGAGCAATGCAGATGAAAATATTTTAGAACCCCATGTATTACTGGAACTTTGGCACACTCATCAAAAAGTGTATGGTGCATAGACCCAAATTTATTACAAATCCTGTGTTTTTAAAATTCATCCAGGGTATATACAAGAGCTAAGTCCCACTGAACTCTTATTTTGAGAAACAGGGGAAACATAAATTTTCCATATCAGGAAGTTGGTATTATTCATATTCTCTATTTTCCCACTGCACAAGCAGAAGTTCCTATTCCACAGGCAAGGAGCAAATGGGGCACAATGACTTAAAAAAGACAGCAGACACATGTAAGAAAAGATTATGTTAATACCCAAATATTATTAGATAAATAGACATGTGCCAAGTCCAAAATGCCCATAATTGGCTTTACCGTACCAGGGAAATACTCTCTGCTAGTAGATATTTTATAGTTGTGCAACCTCAGAAGAAACTCAGTTAACAAAGCAGAAAAAAGTGTAATTGCTCTAACACTAGGACCTAGGACATGATCCCAGGATTAGGTTGTAGTGACAATTAGGAAGAAAATGCTTAGTGCAGTACTACAGAAAGTGATCCAAGAGATCATATGTTTACCCAAGAGATCTTATTGCACTGTGTATTGAATCATAAGCTGCCTTTAGTAACAAAACTAAGTTTTTACTACTTTCTACTTATGTTAGCACTGCAGAATCAATGCAAGTATCAGTCTAAGATCTAAACTCTGTTCTAGCAAATTCATTACCAACAGAATCATTAACTAAGTTCCACATGTAAGACCAAATCTAAAGCGGGGCAGGCATTTTTTTTTCCATCCTGTGAAAATATTGGAGATTTCAAACATTTTCCTGTTCCACACTGGGATAAAAGCAAGACATTTCTTCTTCTTCTTCTTTTTATTGTTAAAAATGAGAGAACACACCCAACCCTAGAATAACCAATAGCTCAGATGCCAATAGCTGAGATGTCAGACATGCAGGTTCCAGTCCCTCGTCTGAACCAGGCCTAGACTCCTACACGAATGCCTGACCACTGGGCTATTGACTCAGCCTCTTTCTCTGGCATGAGTAATGTTTAATTATTTATATAAAGTGGAAGAGCTCCAACAACAGACAGTGAGAGACAAAAGCCTGGTGTTTAGGGCATTCATCTAGCATGCGGGAGACCAGGGTTCAAACCCCTACTCTGTCATCCTCCCACATACCAGTTCAGTGCCCTAACCACCAGGTTCTAGTCAGTCTCAGTCTGTCTCCTCTGTTGGCGCCCTTTGCATAAATAAAAATTAAATATGCATTGGGCTAGTGAGAAAGAGACTTACGCTATAGCCCAGTGGTTAGGGCAATCACTAACGGGATCTGGGTGATGCAGCTTCAAGTCCATGTTCCAGTGAACATTGAATTAGCTATCCAAAGCAGAACAGCTTCAAAAGGAGAGATTGAGAGAGGACCCACTGCCTGATTCAGGTTATGGGCTAAAACCTCTATCTCCCAGGTGAAGGCCCTAACCACTGGGCTATTGGTTATTCTTAGCGGGGTTCTCTCTCTTTTCGGTTTTGATCAGAAATTCCATCCTCAACCTGAGAAAACTTTCCTGATGAAAGTTTTGTTGAAACAGGTATATTCCCCGCAAATACCGTTTTGCCAGAAAAGTCCCAACCAGCTCTAACCAAATCCTGTCCCTTTTTACCTGAAATAATGATTTTGAAAACTGACTACAAATAGTGTTGCAGCATTCCATGCTGTTTTCCTTTTTATAGGCTTTTATATCTAATGCGTCAAGCAGAGAGATCTCATTTTTTCTCCAAGTCCTGTAAATTTAGACTGGGATCTTGAAGTTCTTTCAGTTCATCCATTATAATCAATAATACAGACTACACAGACCAAATTATGTTCTCAGTTACTACATTATGTTCCCAGACTAATACAATGAGTATTCCCACTGTACTCAATTTTTGCTCGCAAATTTTGTTTGCTGTGCAACGCCATTATGTTCAAAATATTCAAAAACAGTGTGTTAGTTCTATTATGATCTCTTCTATTGTGTTTCTCATGTGGAGAACTTCCAACAGAATTAATTTCCCATTTAACATATTTAACTTATGCACAAAAGGAAAAAAATTAATATAATAGGAACAGAGAGATGTATATTTGTTAAATGGAAAATTAACTAACTACATTGCATGTTTATACAATGCTCAGCAAACTTAGGCCCTGATCCTGCAAACACACACATACTTCGCTTTACACAGGGGAACAGTCCCATTGGCTTTAACTGGCTGAAGAATGCTGCTGATTCAAGGTTTTAGAAAGAACCAAGATGACTCCTGAAGGATTGTTTAATAAAAGAAACTACTTTTTAAAACATTATTTTAAAATATGTGTACTTTACAGAGCAATATCGTAAAGGAAATAGACTTTGATACAGACTAATGTTTTATTTGTTTGAAAGAGCTCTGCAATGATTCTTAAAACATTTATGGAAGTGGAATGACATCCAAAAAATGTACTGAAGAAAATTTTTAAAAGTAAAACTTCACAGAGATTTCTAAGAGCTTTCTCAGCCAGACTGCTACAGCGTATTATGCCTGCACTAAAGAAGCAACTGAGACCAGTCCATCAGGTGCTGAGTCAATGGAGAAGTGACAAGCCCTGATACTTGAATTTACCCAAACACCTAAGAGATAAGCTCTCTATCACCACTGAAGTTGAGGAAAAAAGTGGACAAAAATCCTTGAAACTGAGGCAGTCATGGAAACACAGAGGAGAGGGAACAAAAAAAAGCAGCTCATTCTGTAACGAAGAATGGAAAACACTAAATGCACAACAGAAGAGAAATTCACAGCATTGGAAGAAACTCACAGTAAAAGAAGCAGCTTAGGCACAAAGCAAGCACCAATAAGAAGGTCAGAAAGAGTCCTTCACCCTCAGCACTGCTGTGCAAGGAGATGCCATAATCAATCCTTAAGCTGCAGCTGATGAGATAAAGTTTTGTATAGGCACTGCCACGAATTGAGTTAATTTTCGTACTGAAAATTATTTTAATTCAGTATTGAGATATTATAGTAAACCGTAAGAGATTTATTAACAGTTTCTCTTGTTTAACTCTGATTAGCAGGACAATGTATACCTGGAGATGACATGCAGACTGACTGAGCTGAAGGAAAACAGAGCTACAGTAACTGGGACTCTCTCTTATAGAAGGTGTAAATCTTCTGTTGGAATCTTTATCAAGAGGAGCGCAACAGAAAAGATTGCAATTGAACAAATACTGTTTTACTGCCTCTTTTAGACAATTTTCTTTGCAGAATGAACAATTCAACACTAATAACTTGAAGTTACCTTGATTTAATTAAGAAAACTTATTATGAATAAACAATTCAATAACCTCTTGTCCCATCTGAAGGAAGTGATAGTAGGTACTCAGGAGGCCCCTTGTCCTAAAATGTGAAATCCTTTCACCTGTGCTTAACTACAAAGAAGTTCAATTGCCACTAGCTCAAAGCAATAATTAAGCACAGTTTGGGCACTTTAAAGACATATTCAAGATTCTTCTGCAGAAGTGAGCACCTGCCATGGGCCCAGGAATCAATAGGATTTGCTTATTGTGTGTAACAGGAATTACATAATTAATTTTATTCTTGAAGACCATATTGAAGAGATTAAATTTAGAAACCAAAAGGAAAGGTATACAGCACTCCAGAACAAACATAGGTAGTTAAAAAGGCAGAAGGAAAAGGCCTCTCACCATCAGATTTTATGTAAGTATTGAGAGCCTGTATAACTAATCAGCTGATATATTTGTTTCTTGGTAAAGATCAATGGGGGGGAAATGTAAAGTAAAGAATATATATTATCACTATCATGTTATATTTCTCAAGGAGGAATTTGAACAGAATGGCAGCTGGGCTGGTGACTTTTTTGAAAAAGGACCAGCTGAAAAATCAGGTGGTCTCTGCAGCTCCCTTACTAGCCAGATTTAAGTGCTGTCCATGTTCCTCAATCTGACTCATCCAGGCTGTCAGATAATTCCACAGGGTTGCGCTGTCTGCATTCCCAACTCCATCTCGCTAACTAGATCAAGTCATGGCTGCTACATAGAGATTCATATTTATCCCATATTCAGTGTCAGTCACAAGTGGGAAGCCATGGTTCACTCACATTATCTGGGTTGATTGTTCCATGGCAGCTGTTGTGCTGGTTGGCAGCCTATACCCTTCCTATTTCGCTGTGGTTTCAAGAGCTTTGCAAATCCTTTAAATTAACTGTGCAAAAGCAACCTCTTGTGTCCATTGCAGTCTTTTTTCAAACATTAGCATTAATGTTAAACAGTTAGATTGGTAATAATTCACATATTCCTCTAGCTCCTTTAATCAAAGGACTTCATAGAGTTTAACAAACATTAACTAACCCTTGCAAGCCCCTAGGAGATGTGTAACATTTTAAACCCTATTTTAGAGATAAGGAGACTGAGGCACAGACTGTTTAAGTGACTCACATTAAGGTCAGTGGCAAAGCTCAGAATAAAAAACAGGGGTCCAATGATGCCTTGTGCTCAAGAGAAGATGCAGAAGCTGTTTTGGTTAGTGAGAGCTGCTGTATTACTTTTTATCCTCTTCTCACCTTAGCTGGTTGAGTGGATGCAAATGTATTGAGCTATACAGGCCTGGAAAAGTGAGGAGGAAAGATACAGACTTGAAATAT